GATTAACTTAAGCAAGAGTGTAGTTATGCATGTATCTCATAGTCACGTGCACAATTACTCAATGAATGGCATTACTCTTCCAGTGGTCACTGAGTACAAGGACTTGAAAGTGGTTGTGCAGCATGACTTGAAAACAGCAACAAACTGTAGAGCTGCAGCCACTAAAGGTTTTCGAATATTATGGGCCATACGCAAAGCTTTTGCGAATTTTGACGCTGAAATATTTCGTATATTATATCCAACTTATATCAGACCTCATTTGGAATATGGGATCCAGGCAGCGAACCCGTGTTTCAAATACGAAATAGACTTATTAGAAAGGGTGCAAAGAGTAGGAACTAAGCTAATAAAAGGTTTCTCAACCCTCTCATATGAGGAGAGAGGTTAAGTCGACTGGGTTTATTTCCACTGTCATACAGACGACTTAGGGGTGACCTAATACTAGCATACCGTATCCTAAGAAATGATTTTGGAGCAAATTTATCTAATTTATTTCTTCCTTCTAGCACCAACCAATTGCGAGGACATCACCTCAAGGTTCAAAAACCACGGTCGAATCGTCTGCGTTTGAAGATCCGTTTTTCGCATCGGATTGTGAACCATTGGAACTCCCTACCGGAACACGTCGTATCAGCGCCATCCGTTGATTCATTCAAGGCGAGATTGGACCTCCTGTGTGCAACAAATCGAAAGGATTAACACAGGCATATAGCCTACTATCCTAAATAAATTGTAAACTGTAAACTGTATTCACCAGTGTTAACAGATAGCAGCTTTAGGAATCACGATAATCCCGATTAACAGCGTGACATATCCGTATTTGACAGACTGCCAATTGATGTGGTTGGTAGTTTCCCATTGGATTACATGCACTTAATCTCACTAGGTGTTGTAAAATGCGAATTGGGTATATGGTTGCGTTTGGCAAAACAACGCCGATTGGGCTTAAGCAATGAAACAGTTGCTTACATTAACTAAAGGCTGCACTCCTAAGGACTTCCAAAGGAAATGTCGAAGTTTGGAGTTTCTTCACTTTAGGGAGGCAACTGAATGCCGGATGTTTCTGATGTATTTGGACCCAGTCGTATTGCATAACATTTTACCTGCTCTAATGTACGCTAACTTTCTTAGGTTGTTCACAGGCATCTACATTTTATGTCATCCACGTTATCACCATAAATTGTGCAACAATGTAAGACTTCAATGTCCAAGTAACGTTACTTGGACATTATTTATCATCCACTATCTAGCCTACCTTCTGAAAAGATTGCGGTGATGCTCTGTTCACAGTGGTGAGGAATTATATAAATCCGCAATTCACGTTGTACATACTCAGTCGTGGTAGAAGTCAACGAATTAATGCATTTAAAGCATACATATACTTCCCATGTTCACGATAAAAATTTGTGGAATGGAATTAACTAAATCCATACAGCAAAAACATGCAGTAAACATCTGGATATTCATCCGCATGTTGATCATGCTAACAGATCCAAATCACTACCATAAAAGTGCCGATAAACCTGGATATCTAAGAAATAAAGAAAATATGCTGACAACCCTATTTCGAATCCCACTGACTCATTCAATAGTAATATTCTGCTCCTGCATGCTTTATTCGACATTTTGTAGGGATTGGTTAGTAGTCATTCTGATTCCTGACCGAAATGAATCAAAAAATTCACCAGTTGCTGATTCACCAACACTTCTTTGCATGTCTAAATGGATACTAACTGCTGTGGTGGACCTCTTGCAGATGATATTCCTGAAAACATTTTTATCGGTATACTAACTAAGGTTTTACAGGCCATTTTTACACTTTTGTGAATGGCCCACCAAATCGACTACCACGCCAACTTTGATAAGGGAGTGAATTTTACACACTCTTGTTTAATTTTGGCATTTGTTGTGTTATACGCTACAAACGTCTGTAGATTAACTTTAAATCAGTTCATTCTGATCGAAGTTAGTTAGCGTTTCAGTTTTGAGTCTATTTAATTATAGTAAGTTGTGTTCTTAAAACCTAACAGTTGTATATATATATCCATTTTTGTGCACTTATTGGGTTTTTTTATCATTGATTTATAAAGGTCATATGTATAAACTTATATTTGAATCTCTTTGTTCCAATTCACTCTGAAAGGCATGCCTATCAAAAGGAACCATCGCGGAAGAGTTATATGCTAATTTCCAGTTGAAGAAGGAATGCAGAGTGGTAACAGCAAAAGATGGTTTCATAGCATGTGCACAAACCTACAAATGCTGCTGCAAAGCTTTGACGAACTGGCCGTGCAAGGACGGCTGTAGTACGACTGAATTTCGTATAACGGAAGCCATTGCCACCCTCACTGGCGCTCTAAAGCCCACGGACTGCAAGGGTCTTCAACTACAGGAGAAGAGCGACTACTGCCTAGACACCAATGAAGTGAGTAGCGCCATCGACAAAACAATACATGTTCCTGATGCGTCTCTGTCAGGGAGTGAGTGCTGTTCAGCACAGAAGAACACCAGCCATAGTCCGGGCACCAATGCTGCCCCTACGATAACCAGATAAGTCCTCGAGTGACGGTAAAGGGGAAACTGGCACGAAGAAGAGGCGCATCAAGTGTCGAAAAACAACGGCTGAAGTCGCCCAGGGACTTGTAGATCAAGCCTCATTCACACCGACGGATAGCAGGCAGACACAATCGACTATGATTAGCAAGGAGGATGCCAATGAATGGCGTAATGTAGTCTGTCGCAAAAAGCGAGACAAGGACAACATACTGGCCACACTGCCCACGAAGGACAGAAAGATACTTACGCCGCAGAGCAAAATGCCACGGCAAGCAAACCTGATCTTTCTGACAGGTCGCTCATTCTCCACAAAGTGGAAGAATCATCGGCCTCCGATCCCAAGGTCTGGTTCGAGCATGACCTTAACTTGGTCAAGCCCCTTTTATATAAGCCAGTGCCAAAAACGGCATCACGCATAGCAACACACAGCTTATATAGAATCGGCCAAACGCCTGACTCCATAGTAAATCAGCCTGTACTCCTCCTCAAAGTCGTACTAAACTCCAAAGAAGAGAGGGGTGTTATTTTAAGCAACTCTCGAATCCTTAAAGGATCAGGCATATACGTCCGTTCCGACTTATGCCTAGCATACCGTGTCAAAAGACAGTCTGAAGCCATAGAATTAAACGAAAGACGCCGAAACGGCAGAAAAATAACCTAAAGAACTATGGTTTTCGGGTTGTCAAAACTCGAAGTTTGATGATCCTGAAACCTCTGTGGATAGGCCGCGGAGGAACCAGACTGAATTGACAGTTTGTGTCTGTATCTCCTTTGAATGGCTGTCATATATATATGTTTGCTCTGCATAGTAGGTTGCAGGTATTTCTCTCTATCTGTTTTCATCATGGTTTAAAGTATGTCTGCCAGCAATCTAGCTACTTCATGATACTGTGAGTTGAACATAATTAATATGAGTTTTAGTGGCATGTTGAACTTATGAATTTTAGGTAGCCCACACATTATAGGTATATTTGTTCTTAAACGCTTTATACGTTCAAGAATTCCAGGGGGTAACTATGTGACTGGATACTGAAACTTTTTAAAAACTGCCTGACTGTAAGAATGATACACATAAAGTAAAAGAGGAATTTCGTGAGAAGCTGCAAACTCTGGTATACCAGTCATCTATCGTGTGTTGACACTTTCAGACGTGATAATAACACAACATAAAAAGTTTAAATCATTCGAAGCATTTGTATTTGGTTATTGCAAAATTGATGAGTTCAGCTTATTGATTTAAAAATTTTTCAATGTGAAGTGGGTTTTATCGTCAATGCTCACTGCGTTGCTGTGAATGTAACAGTTGGTTTCAAATAACCAGGCCTGAAATGAATTCATAAAAATAAAATGTATGGAGAGAAGTTCATTACACCAACGTGTCACACACACACAAAGAGAGACTAAAACTTAGTGATTTCATACGTGAAAATATCCAGTGACTGGCAAAGTTCTACAATAGAGTCCCAAGGAACGAACGCACAAGTGACCTTGAGCCGACCAGTCAGAAAAAAGGATGATTTTTGCATAAAATCTTACGTATATTTACATAAAAAATCATAAAAAACGTTAAACAGAATATTTTTCTCTAATATGAAATAAAAATATCTCTCAATTTTGTATTGGGGTTTCAGTTTTTAAGTTGAACCAATTTCTATACATGTATTCATCCAGATGACTAAAAATAACTTGGTTTTGAAAACCATTTATAGCTTTTATTCTATTTTTTAATCTTCCCCAGAAACCTTTGATGGAATTGTTATGAGTACCGGTGACAGGGTCGACGGAATCATTCGAATGGTTCACTCTATGATGTATATATCCCAATTGTGATATTTGGCTATGTCCCGCCAATTCATCTGTGTGAATGGTGGTGCCTGGTAACACTAGACGCTGAATAATAGGGAGGAGGAGTGTATGAGCACTCCTATCTAGAATCAGCTCCATAAACCCTTTGCGAATCTAGGTATCATAAATTCCTAAAACCAAAACGTTATTCGCTCTGGCAACCCAGTAAGTGGACAGAAAGAAGATATTCAGGCAAAGTTAAACTTTCGACACCAATAACAACCAATCATCAAAGACAGTTTCAACTTTTCAAAGAAAGTTCCTAGAAGACAATTAATTCAGTGTCGGTTACCAGTATGCACAATTATTCGCGCTAGAATAATGGTGAGCTTCCTCAACCAATAACTAGCATGCGTTCAGGGTCATTGAAACATTCACAAGGTCATTGGAACATTTACAATCTTGGGACTCTATTGTTGAACTTCGCCCAGTGACTTACCTTAGATGAAGGGTTGTCACATTCACTTCATGCGACATTCATTTTTCTAGCGTACAATGCTAATTTCTTTTCCACAGCCTATAAAAACAAAAGTAGGAAGCGGGTAGAAAGCATTGTAGACAATGTATATATATATATATATATAGGGAATGCAACCTACCTCATTCATGAATTCTGTATAACTAATAAGGCTATCATTAACAAGACGTAAATAACGTCGAAGTGATTGACTCAAGTTTATGTCAATTTTCTTTACCGGTTTCGTCATATAAATTCTATCTATCAGGTAGTGTTCATATTCGTCGCAGTGTTCAATTTTCACCAGTCTTGAATTGTTTAGCCATGGTCTAACCCATATTTCCACAGTACAGTTAAGTGCAGCCTGGGTGAAATGTGAAGAGAGTTGGAAATTTTTAGCATACTTCGATTTAACAAACAAAAAGATCATTATGGTTAGGAGCACTTTGGAGTCGATAAAATTCCTTACCTGTCAAATACTCTGTATTCAATGATTTCAATATTGTAGTTTCTACAATCTACTCTGGCGTATGCTACTGGTAAGTTTTATAAGTAGTATACAGATGAAGAGATAAATGTGTATGCTATCTGCATGAATATCGAATATTGGAGAGAGGGATTTCATGAACAGTGCTTGAGAAACAACACGGAAAACACGGAATGCAGACAAAGAAGGACACTATGGAAGACATGACAGCACAATACCAGAAACTTGTGAGAATTGCGATACAAATATATGGTACACGTACGTTGAGTTGCCAACAAATAAATCTGTCGCCATAAACTCTTGCATTCTGTCGTTACTTATAAACACACTTTATCTCACTGTAACATAACACGATAAAAACAATTAGAGAATTGTCATGTCAAAATCAACAGCGACTGACTAGAATTCTTTCTTGAGTGATTAATTTGAATCTTTAAGCAAGTCACTTTGTGGAATACTCAAGAGCTCTGTGAATATGAGTGGACGGCACTCCCTCGAGGTTGTGGATCAATTATAACCGCCAAATATTCTAGAAAGGTGAAGTCCTCTATTATCTCTCATTTCGGTTAGATGTCCAATAAAGTTCATGACAATGCATCACTCATGAAGATCTCAGAAAGTGACACATGCAGGTTAGTGGTTTCATTACCTTCAATTTACAGGGAAAATAGGCCAGCTGAATACAATATGCCTTATAACACACCGAAAGGTAACTTGGGAAGACTGCCCACTTATCTCGCTTGAAAATGATATCATGCAAGAAACTCAAGTGTAGAGTATTTTTAGAGAATCTGGTGAAAGTTGAAATGAATATAAACCTCAGAATTCCTAGTCTTATCTAGAAAGCCTTTGAGAATTTACGGCTATGGGGACTCACCAAATTGTTTAGTGACCACATTTGTATCAGCTTGTATGACGAGCTACACTTAGAGACCATGCCCTGAGTGAGATACACTATATAAGACCGGTGGCGTGATCAGAAGCCATTCTACTCGATTACACTTATAATATAAGGTTTTCACCCCGGAGAAATTTCTCACTACTTGAAAAGATGAAAATGTAGCTCAATGAGTCTACTCTAGGCTCAAGGTTTTCAATCCAGAATTGCTATTGGGAGGATGGTGGCAACTTATGGTGTTATTCTTGAGGTTCTTTAATAAAGTAGTCTAGAACCACATGCATCTGTACTGTTGTGGATTCGATATACTTCAGTGTAGCTAATGATGCAGCTAACGTTTTCTTTCAGATGGTAAGCATTCCATGTGATATGAACAACTGCTACTACACATTACTGAGAGATCCTTTGGTTTTGATTATTCACGTGATAGATGGTAAATATTGGTGAATGATTCCACTAAACACTAAGCAAAATGCATAAACATTGATTGTAACCTTCTTAATTTGAACTCCACCTGGTTCGCGTGAATTAATGTCTTTATTATATTCTCTAGCGCCAATCACTGTGTGACATATAATCCAGTCCACCACAGTTAGGAATATCCTCAGTGATATTAGGCCGGCAACCTTGTCTTACTCCTGTATTCAATTCAAGTGATTCGCTGAGTTTCCTGTTGTGGATAACCTGAAATGTGGCGTTGTCATATAGTTGCTGAATGAGGCACTGCACTCCATAGTGTTAATTTAGTTTTCAAATTAATTCTCTGTCAACGCTGCTTGTCGAAGGCGTTTCCAAAATCGATGAAGCTGGGATAGAGGTTTCACTAGCAAGACGAAATGTACAACCTATTAAAACTGCTGTTTCCCCTCTCACGCTGTATTAAAAATATAAGACTTGTAATGGGACGAATCACTAAAACACGAAAGACACGGACAAATATTGTGACATATCAAAGACAGTGAAATGCTTAGACCTATAAAGTGTTGAAGTGTTATCTACAACGAGATTGGGTGTCTTGTCGTCCCTATAAGAGGCAAATATGTCCGTTTGGTGCGAATAAGTGACAATCCTATGCAGTGTAAGACATTTAACATAGACAAATTGGCATAAACTTACCCCAACCAACAGTTTCGAGTGGTTTTCTTCTTCTTCTTCTTCTACGACACCTCGGCGTGGTGAAGTTTTGTTGGGAGTCCTAGCAAGGACTAAACTCATTCTATAATGTTTGCCATCAGATATCTGTATGAACATAACACATTGTTATGATCAGCATATTGAAATAATTTCAACTTACATTGGACATCCAGTGTGGCATTGAAGTAAGCTTGAATGAATCATACTCGCCCATTTCTTCACTGATCAACCGTGTGACTCTATTGAAATCCTCAAACCAAAAATTTGTTTGAAGCATTTCGGCATCAATTTCTATCATTACACATTCTCCCAACTTCATGAGATCTTGTTCATATAACCAAGGTCGATTGCTCCAGTGCACATGGCATTGAACTAAGTGCTGAAGAGAAGGAAACACATAAGAAGTGTGAAGTGATGAACTCCTGGTTACTTCCTACTAAAAAAGAATCCAACCACTATCCTTTAATGCTTTGAACGTGAATGTATTTACCAGTTCGACATTCATCGCATTCGTAAGTATGATAGTCACCACGTTCAGTTTCTCCACTATGAATTAAATGATCTTTCTATTCTGTGAGAAATGTTGTGTAGGCACATCAACCGACTTAAATACAGATGAAGATGAATGTGGAAAGTGTCAGTTTTGATTACGTCCGGATACTTATTGAATCCAGAAATCGCCTGGTTTTAGTAAAGTCTTGTTATAGGAGGAACCATGAGGCAAATTACTGTCGAACTGTCATACTGTCATATTCATTAAATACGACTGAAAATCTAAAATCTCTTCATCGAAATAGCTAAATATCCAACAGGAAGACTTCTAATTGGTTTTTATTCTCATAAAGAGTTTAGGGGTACACCTGGATAACACCTTAGATTAGTTCAAATCTAAACTAATTACAACGAAGTATGAATGATGCTAGATTGTCGGTGGCGGTCGACATGAAGCCTTAAGCCTCATTTTCGTTCTTCTGGTCGCCCGTCAGGAAGGTATATCTGCAACTTTGAAGGAGCTAATGTCATAAATGAGATTTGAAACCTCATCACCCAGTGTTGTGACCCGAGATGTTACCACTAGGCCATTTAGGCCTGAATCGTCTGGGTAGAATGAACGCCAATTACCATGAAATATAGGTCCGAGGCACCTTCCTAACTGCATGCAACCAGATAACATTACTTTGGAGTTAACCACGACAGTGAGTTACGTAACTTGGTGACTACGTTACAAACTTGACTGAGAGAATTCGGTCAGTACCAACGCCAAGTACTAGAGGAATCATATTGGTTACACTTTAGTGACCAACCAGTGTACAAAAATGTAACTGTTTACCACTGAATCCTGAAGACCATCAGCATGTTCATGGATCGATCGCCTGAAGATTGCAGTTTACTCTCCTACTTCAAAAAATGTCAGCCAGAAGTATTCGTATGCTTGGAAAATAAATGAACAATGGACATGATTAAGTGTCAGTAGTCACTATGAGAACTTCCAACCAGTTGCAGACTTTTATCAACAGCTGCCTTCACTGACTCCATACTGAAGATTAGATAACCAGCCAGAGAGAATTAGAAACAAGAAAGTCTGGCTGTCGACGAACCTTCTCTCTGGGGTCAGGGATTTGTGTGTCAGTGGCCCAGTGGTTAGGACTCTCGCCGACCATGCACATGGTCCGGGGCTCGATCCCCTGCTGACACACACCTGATATCTATGGTCGACCTGCAAAATTTGAGCTACCCATATCACATGCTAAAAATTCCATACCTGTACGAAAAAAGTACGGTGCGGAATTAAGCTGTAATAAAAGAAAACAACCTATTGCTCAGCAAATATGTGGAAGAAATTAGAGATGGATTGGGAACACATTGAGTGGACTGTCGAATGACATCGCGCGCAGTGCAGGCCATCACTCGACTGGAACCTGAAAGGGGAACGACGAGTTGGGTGTTATTTCGAGGATGACATCGGAGACATCATGCGAGGAGGAGATGAGAGATTATGGGAAGTCTTGAGATGAGATAAAGAGGACCGCAGAGAGTGAATAAAAGTATAGACGTGCTTTTGCAGCCCTACGTTCCACTCAGAACCCAAGGGAACAATGACAATAATAGTTACACATTCATTGAAGTATTTTAGCAGGTATAAATTAAACTTACTGATTTGTTTTCCTTCTTAGGTGAATCACTTCCTTCTTTGGATCGAAATATGACATTGAAGTCAAGTTGTTCACCTACAACATACTAATCAAGATTAGTGTGAATATTCACCAGGGGATAATCACGTCAACTTACCTTGAAGTTAATGTTTTCAATGTTGAGTATTTCATAGTTCATTTTACTATCCACTAACTTGTTGTATGCATTGAGTGCACGTTCAGATAATGTTTGGATATCAGGCATTTGACCGGTATAATCAAAGGTATTATATTCCGTTATAGGACCGGATAAGTGAATATTTTGTACTTGCATACAATTGTTTAGTAAATATTTTCTTGTATCATCAGTTTCACTGACAATCGCTTTACACTTGAAAACTTCCTACAATGCATAGAATAAGTCAGAGTTAAGTTGAATAAGAGAAGATAGAGATTTATTCATTGTATAACGAGACTGATTATAAAGGTTGTACGGCGGACGGGTCAAACGACTATCGTCTGTCGAGAGTTGCAAGTTATTCCAGACTTTAATAGAATTGACTATGATGCAATCGAGACCAGATCTAGATATGAGCACATATGATTGCACGTATTTTGTATAAGAAGGATATAAAAAACGATCTTATGTTCTTCACTGGAATCGGAGAGGCGAAATGATACAGAGGACTGGTGAAAGCCTTCTGGAAGCAAGTCAGTAGGGCAATTTGTATTCTTTTGATGAAAGCGAAAATAAGCATTCTGACATGGAATGTACGTACAATTGACGAGGCTGGGAAGGCTGCTCAGGTAACCAAGGAAATGAGAAGATATGCTATAGAAGTGGTAGGAATCTGTAAAACCAGGTGGAGTGGAGGTGGACCATCGAAATTCTTAACTGGAGAGTCAGTAAGCTACTCCAGTCACCCAAACACCAACCAATAGCACACTCAGACAGTGAGTGGCTATCTGGAAGTTATTAACATCAGAGAAAGCACTAATGCAGAAGGAACCAGTCTCCTCCTTCTGGATAATGACATCAAGATTCAACTGAAAAAGAGTGAAGGAAGATTAAAATTATCCAATGCCAGGCACCCACAAACAACGCAGAACAAGAGGAGAAAGAAGATTTCTATAGGCAACTGTGAGCAGTAATGGATAAGAACTTGAATGGCAAAATCAAAATCCTGATGGGCGATAGGAATGCTAAACTGAGAGCAGACAATGCAGGAAGAGAATTCATCATAGATCGAGAATAAGAACGGAGAACTCCTCTCAAACTTCCCTGCTTTCAATGGTTTGGTGACTGGAGACAGCGTGTACAAACACAAGGATATGCACAAGGCAACATGGATTTCACATGGTGGACACACCACAAACAAGACAGACTTTATCTCAATCTCAAGAAAATAGAGAAGGAATCTGATGCAATCGAAATCGACAAGGGGAGCAGATGTGGGCTCAGACCATTGTGTTATTCATGGTACCTTCAAGGTCACGTTGAAAGACTTCACAACAACTGGAGACAGACCACAATTCAAGTTCAACATTGAGAAACTGGATTTAAGGACAAAACTATAAGGGACGCCTGCACTACAGATCAGATCAGAGCAAAATCTGATACACTACGTGGCATCACTGAGGAAACCTGCTTGGAAAAGCATTGGAACTAACTCTCTGACGTTGATGTTCGAGGAAACGCGTACAATTTTTCTAGAAAGAAAGAAGAGAAAAGATAAGGAATGGCTCTCTACGGACACTTGGAAGCTAATAGAAAAGAGGAACACGGTGAAACAGAGGATGAACAAATGAAAAGGTACACAACAAAGGGAGAAGATGAGCTTAGTGTACACCACACTGTACAAAGGCGTGAAGAAGAGTGCTAGGAAAGACAGAAGACAATTCTATAACACACTGTCAACTAAAGCAAAACACGCCACAGGCAAAAGAGACCTCAGAACATTACATCGGATCCACTACCCTCGCTCAAAAATTAAAGATCAAATGGTCAGAAAGGAATTAGCAACAAGAAACTCTAGGAACAAACCAACCAAGAACCTATTGCTGAATAAATATGCCAAAGAAAACTGATGAAGATGGATCAGTGTGTGGTTGATAAGATATAGGATCGGAGTTCAGGGATGTGAATTAATGGATAACAATCGACGTGATCATAGTAATAATAACTATGGGGATAAATTCATTCAAGTGTTTATATGATCTAGGCAATGGTGAGTGTATAGGTAGAATGTGTGTACTAGTAGGGGTAGAGGGGAAAATGACTATTTTATCTTTGTTATTATCATTATTATTATGACCACTTCGATTGTTATCCATTAATTCACATCCCTCAACATCTATCCTATACCGCATTAAACACATTAATTCAAATGCTTATAACTAATATTTCATTATGTAAATGTAAAGCCTGATGAGAATTCATCGGAAATACGTATTCACTTAACTAGTGTTCTATAATTATCCATATGGGAATATTGAAATCATTGAAGATGCGTCAGACACATGGAAAGGAGACCGTTGAATGAAATTCCACGTTAGGCAGGTCCTCACTCGAATGGAGTGTGAATGGGAAACGACGAGTTAGGCATGGGGCGGAGGCTGACATGGAGGAGATCGTGTGAGGAGGAGATAAGAGACTATGGGCAACCGTCAGGTGAGCTAAGAAGGACTGCAGAGAACATGACACAGTAGACATGTGCTAGTGGAGCTCTATGTTCAGCCCGGAATCCAAGGGAATAATGATAATTTTGACGATATACTTGTCGCTTGCAACAATGTGGACCATGCATCAGACATGTTTGAAGAACTCAATGTAGCTCATCCTCATATTGATTTTACAATGCATCATGACGTAGACAACCAGTTCAACTTTCTTAATCTTATCATAAGATCAAGAAATGATGGGACCATTGAAAAAACTATCTGTAGAAAAGAAATTTGGATGAGTCAATGTTCAAATTATCAGTTTTCCCTCTAAATACTTACAAACCGGTTTTGGTCAAAACATCATTCAGCATAGCTGGGGCGTTATGCCTAAGAACTAAGATTGATGAAGAACTCATGATTATTGGAAGTGATCTAATGGAGAATGGATATCTCCAGTAAGTAAATAATAAAATATAGTGGAGAAGAAAAGTTCAGAGTGAAGCCTGTAGTAGTTGAAAAAATCCAGCTTTTAATTGTCTGGCGTACAATGAGGAAGAAGTATGAACAATATTAGAAGACAAAACTCAACATTGCATTGAAAAAGACATTTCCGGCCCCTAGACTGATTCCACTGTATAACACGAAATGTTCATTAATGCATTGTAAAGTAGATAAGTATTCCTGCTCATTTCAACTCCAACTGCATCTGTTAACTCACATGAACTTGTGGTAGCAGGTACACAGAGAGGACTTGGAAGAGAGCATCTACTAGATCTTCTGCGCATATCCCTAACAATCTTCTTATGAAAAGTAAGAAAGTGTGTTTGCAAGTGCAATCGTTATGCATCTGATTGACACAGACATTCAGTCGAAATCAGTCAAGCCTTTAAAACAATCAGTGAGTGTGCAGAGAATATCTTGGCTACTCCGCTTTGAAGAAGCCATTGCTATCTAATACCTTCAAAATTATCTCTGTATACAGAAAGATATTGTGACTCATCCCACCCTAATTAGGTAAATGGATGTCTATGTTTTGTTTCTGTGTTCTGTTGAGTCACAATTCTCTTGTGTTAATCACTCACTCAGCTGAACTCATTATTTATTTTCCACTTTACTAGACTGTTTGTTTACGCAATGATGTTACTTTTGCTCACTATTTCTTCTTACTCTCAATCTCTCCTATCGAGCGTTATATCACATTATGTATAGACAAACTCTTGTTGTTAGATTATTAACTGTTTTAGAAGCACGTATACCACTTAAAACCCAACGGAAACTGCTACTCACTTGTACGATAAACGTGCAGTTCCAGTTTAGCAACGAATTCTACGATCATGTGAAGGATGTAGCAATGGGCGTTTTCTCCCTGGGTCTTCACTTAGTCGATATGTTTCTGGCAAAATTAGGGAAATGCCCACTGGAAAATTTTATCAACGATGCATGCATACGACTTTTACCTAACATAGGAATAAAATCACTACCGACGTCCACCCACAAAATGGGTTCACATAAAAAACAAAGAAAGACAATAATGTCAACAAGAAGGTGAGATTGGGATGTTAGGGTTGGGGGGTATTTTCCGAGAAGAATCATGGGTTGGCCAATACACACACACGCACATTTCACATCATTTGTTCCTCTTGCACACAAACGAAATCTCATCGGTACCCTGATGGACCATGCTAGAAAAATTTGCACCGCTGACACTCTTGAAGATGAATAAGGAAAACAGAAAACTTATTATTATATAAGAAGGGATATCCAGAAAAATTGCTAAAGTCTCCATTATGAGAGCTGATAGAGAGAAATGTCTGTAAACTACTGAACAGAACAAGCGTATATATAAATGACTTAACGTTCAAAGGAGATACAGACACTGAACTACTCGCATTCAGAATCTGCAGAATAGTAGCTGAGACATTCTATGCCACAACAATACGTTCAAAATTCATCACTCATTGTAATATTCCAACACAGAGTAGGATAAGCTACAGAGTCTGGCCAATTCAGTGTGCATTTATAACTTTAACTGTTCATGTGGAGACAGTGAGACAGGTAGAACGACTCGGTAAGCCAATCGTGACCTCCTTCAGCATTGTCCAACATGGTTAGTTGAAGGAGTCGTAAAGTGAATCAGAAGATCCATACTGGCACTCACACAGTGGTGAACACGGGATACAAGATTGATGAGAATTCAGCCTTTACAATTCTACACAAGGTGTCACTCCAATTTCCTGAGTTTGTACACATTCGATTGCCAAGTATAGGTAAGTCAATTATCATGGAGATTCTTCAATCCACTCTCTGTGTTCGAAAAATATCTGTTCAATCTCCCACCCACCCCCACCCCTATTGGCCTTCGTTTCAAAACTAGAATAGTTATCTCTCCATATGACACCAGATAGCTGTAGATATTATTTGCATTTGTCCTGAAAACTTTATTATCAGTATGATAGTGTGCTAAACAATTGCATATTTTCATCTCAATTTCAGAATTTCCTGTTTTAATTATTTTACATACACTCCACTTGATTATTACCTGATTCTGTTGATCCGAATCATTTCACATGTCTACGACTGATACGTGATTATGTAATTGTAAAGCCTGATGAGAATTGACGGAAAATACATATTTGCTTGCTTAAATTGTCTTCTGAAATTATCTTAATGTGAATACCTAAGTTGTGTTGTACTCCTGTCTCTATCCTCACCACTATTCACACTAAGTTGAAATCAAATTTTCGGCTTATATATTCGCATATTCATCAAAACTTGTGTTATTTTGAAGGTAGTTTCCCTTTTCCTTTGTTCATCAAATCGATATAAGAAACTCACCGTAACCTCAGGATTTGTACAGTGATCCAGATTCTCATATAACAAACGTTCATGTCTACCCTTCATACAATTTGTTGGCTGAAAAACAACATCAAAGAGAAAAGTCTTCGATTCTGTATCTTTTGTAGGACTTGTAGGTGTCATTGTGAAATTTTCAACTGTATTAATTGAATACAAATGACGCCGTCCATTCTGTGCATTGAATACAGAGAGTGTTCGTTTTACAATCTCATCGTATGTTTCAGGCATTTGCCATTTACGTTTATAAACTGTAGTGCATTGCTCGAATCGAACTCGTATAAACAAGTCCTCCTCATCGTCATCGTCATCTTCATCATCGTATTCTTTCAGTGCAGTCACTTGACAAATCACTGTGTACTACAGAAGGAGAGAACGATATAGAAAAAAATAGATTTAGAAACATACAGATTAAATACTCAATTATAATACCAACAACCTAATGACTCACAAAAGAAACAATGTGGAGACATTGTTGGAAAGAGTTCGGTCACCATACTGTAGCCATTTACAAAACGAATTGTATGAACTGTGATAAACATTACATTGGTCAAAGTGGGCATCCCCTTCGTGTCCATATCCAAGAACACAATTTAGCTGTGAAAAAGTATGATATATATTCTTTCATATCAATTTTTTTTCATTCCTTCACGTTCCCAGTGGAACATGGGGTTTCAAGCTAGAGGCTTGAAGTTTCTGTAGCAGTGTTTATTTTTACAGGATGTGGTTGCTAGCCTCATGCCCAACCTTTCTTCTTCACCAGCTTTTTATTTCTGGTTTAGAGAGATAATGAAGTTCGCCGGCCTGGGATAGAACCCTGGGCCATGTGCATGGTCGGCGAGCGTACTAACCACTATGCCAGCAACGCACGTAGATAAATATGGACGCGATTTTGATTGGGATAATGTGGAAATTTTAAATAGAGGAAGCAATGAAAATGCAATCAGGGAAGTTCTACAGGCCTGGGACTCAAGTCAATTAGCGATTAACAAGCATATTACATTAGACCATATTAACCAACTAACAGGAAGTAAATCACATGACAAGAAATTACAAATTCCAAGTCAATATAAAGGGAAGCGGCGAGTGGGATGTCGGTGCAAGGGTGACATGGAGGAGATCGTGCGAAGAGGAATTGAAGCAGTATGGATTAACATGGATGCAGGTGAAAAGTGCAGCAGAAGACAGAAGCAAGTGGAGACGTGTAGTTGGAGCCCTATGTTCCACTAGGAACCCAAGGGAACAATAATAATAAAAATTGAAAACCAGGGAGTACTGGACAGCTGCTGTTTCATCCTAGTTTGGGAATCATCGGCAGTACGCACCCACTGCCAGGGTTCGAACCCAGGACCTTCCGTTACAAGGTAAGCTCGCAAACCATTCAGCCACTGGGACCCGATTCAATGGCTCATGAATTCTAACTTCTACCGATTCGTGATTTAGCGCGACCCCAACCATTGTCGTTGGTGGGACATCCATCCACACACGTGATATCTAATTGGACCTCACTGGTCACGACTTCTCACTAGAACTCCAGGAAGCTCCATCCTGTAGCAAGTCACTAGCGATCATCAGATTAATTTTCTATAGTTTGGTTTGTAAGGATTAGTTATGTTTTACTAGTTGATCACGGACTGATATCAGTTAGAGAACCATTGAAACCCGTACTGCCGATGATTCCCAAACTAGAATGAAACAGCAGCTGTCCAGTACTCCCTGGTTTTCAATGGTTCTCTAACTGATATCAGTCCGTGATCAACTCATAAAACATAACTAATCCTTACAAACCAAACTATAGAAAATAATAATAATGACAGTGGCTGTGAGGAGGAGATACAATTATGTCATCATCCATGGAAAATTCAAATAACTTGATTTCATAATAAAACCTGAGATGGGGGAAGATGTTGTCTAGAGGGTGTACAATGAAAGTTTCAAAATTAATTCAACCAGCTCGTCAGAGAACACAACTAGATCAGATTTATCTATTTGAGCTACAAATCTACTCCATTATTTCAGAGAAATAGTGTTGTAAGAAAAGTTTATCATCATGTGTAGAGACGTATTCTGTGTGTGTATGTGTGCGTACGTGTCAAGCTATGAACGACAGGGAGTGATCAGCAGCGTGTTATGCACACAATTTTACAGGATATCATCTGCTTGGCTGTAAAAAGCACTGACATTCCAATAGGCTTAGAATAATAATAATTTACTTTATTCCAAAAACAGTACTTATAATACAGAATGGAATTCTCAGCATTTGTCACAATATTGCATCTGATTTACTCAAAGTGTATATAAAATTAAAACAAAAATTAATCGGAGGAATTTGTCCACATTAACAACATAATTATTAGATGTAATAATAATAATAAATACTAATAACAATGAGTTTGTTTCAAACGGTATTGTCGATTCAGTTTGGAAACTTTAGCATGTTATGGACAATTGGGTCTAATGTTCTGTTGATATAGTGTAGTGAGGTGAAATACAAAGTTAACAGTCATAATACAGCTTAAAATTATGTCCACACTTATGAAAAATAAAATAAACAAAACGAAAAAATTGAGAGGATTATAAATATAAGAAATACAATAACAATAAAGTATGATGCTTTAAGGTTGAAGGAAATTGTCTATTTAGTGGTGCTAAGAAGGTTAGTTAGTTCATTTCTGACACTATTTTCATCGCATAGAGTACGTGCTAAATATGGTATAGTGGAATTTTTATACTTAGACTTACGTTCATAAAGTCTTCTGAAAATACTTCTTGTTTTACCTGAGGAGACACAAGGTTGGAGCTGCCGGTAGAGTGGGTGCTCAGAGTCTGACAAAATTCCTCTAGCGAATCTGTTGCATGACATCAAATGCCTATCGGTGACAATGCCAACGATATGGCCCAATGGGATACCACTCGTCCTACTGACAGTCTTCAGAGTTCTACGAAGTATGACATAGTCCTTTTTAAGCAATCCAGGAAAGAATAATGGTGAACAGTAAAGAAGAATAGGTAAAATACACGAGTTGACAAACTGTAAGAGGAGTGGTTGGATTATGTCTGAGTGCCTCAACTTCCTAATGTAAAAAGTCAGACGAAATATTCTTTGAGAAATCGCTAAGACATGAGAAGACCAAGATAGGTGAGAAGAGAGAACTAATCCAAGATACTTAACTTCAGACTTGCTTTCTGTATCAGTATCATCGATTTTGCAAGGGTCATATGAACCAACGGCTTCATTTAACTTTCGTTTACATCGGAAACTGAAATTAACAGTCTGACATTTGGCAGCATTTAGTTTAAGGCCATTAGATGAAGACCATTTGCTAATTCCTGATAGAAAGCTGTTCATCTTAATACAGTCAAGTTGAGATTTAACAGGCATTGAAATAGTTAGATCATCGGCATACTTAACAAAGTTGATTTCATCGGAGTGAGGCAAGTCATGCAAGAAGAAAGAAAACAGAAAAGGAGAAAGGACAGCGCCTTGAGGGACACCAGCCTCAGTAAGCAATGAAGCGGACGACTTTCCCTGACATACAGTGTATTGCTTTCTTTCTGAGAAATGAGAATGGAGCCATTTGACAACCCAACAGTCAGTTTGAGTTTCAGCAAGCTTGTTTAGTAAAATGTCCCTAGGTACTGAGTCGAAAGCAGATGTATAATCTAGAAAGGTGCAGCGAACAAATTTAGCCCCCTTGTCTAAGCTGGAGACAATGTTATGATACAGGACTGCAGCTGCGTTCAAAGTACCTTACATTGATATTAAGATATCAACATACTCACACACCAGTCACTAGTTCAATTCTATATCTTCTGGTTACTCCGGTACAATATCAGCTGGCAGCACCATTAGTTTATCAATATTCTGCAGTCAGATAATGACGATAACGTACTACTTCAAAGATTAAATGTTGACTTCACTGAAATGGCCAATCGAATCAAGGTTTTTTTATTACACTGGAGGACAGTCTGGGGAGTAACATTTATTATTATTATTATTGTTTCCTAGGTTTCCAAGTGAAACATATGCGTTCAACAACACATCTCCCTTTTGTTTGATTTTCCGCCATCCTCTCAAGCCGGCCCCACGATTACCCATAGTCTGTCATCTCGTCCTCCCGGAACCATTCCCTTCATTTCACCCTCGAACCAACACTTAACTCATAGTATCCCTTTCGGGTTCTACATCAGCAATGGCCTGCATTGGGCGCAATCACATTCGAAGGTCTACTCAGCATGTGCTCAATCCATCTCCAATTTCTTCTACATATTTTTTGAGCAGTGTGTTATTGGTTGATTCGTTTGTAGAGTTTATTGTTGCTGATTCTCTCTGGCTGGCCATCTAATCTTCATTATTAAGTCAGTGAAGGCAGCTGTTGATAAAAGTGTGCAGTAGACTATTGGAAATGTCTTGTGTGACGTGCAGTGAAAGTCTCTGTTCCATATGTAAGCAATGACTGACTTAACATTGGTGTTGAAAATCCGAATCTTGTTCTTTATGCCGAGTACGGAAGAGTTCGGAACCGATTTCAGGGTGATGGAAGTGTATCTTGCCTTGCCGATTTGAGATGGTATTGACATCTTCATCTGTTCCCCTTACCTGTGGTTGAAACGATGCTTCTTAGATGAGTGAAGGAATTGACCTCTTTCAAATTTCTCCCGCTGGTAGTGATTGGTGCTGGTAGTTGTTGTTGGTGGTGGTGGTGATGCTTGGATATCTTCATCACCTCCGTATTCTCTATGTTCACTTGAAGTCCTGTTTTCCCTGCCAGCTTCTTCTGCCAGTTTGTTCGTTCGAATGACATTAGACACAAATCATCCGCGAAATCCAGATGTTCCAGAGTATTGTTATCCTTCCAGTGTATTTCTGTCTACTTGTTCATCACGAACCAAAAGGCAGCATAATCCAGTCCACCACAATTAGAAATATAAGTGGTGACATTAGAAAAACAGCCTTGTCTTACTCGGAGAGGGTTCATTCTGCTAACAACACCGTTAGACGTGCTTTTCGTGTTATTTTTCAGTCAGAACCAACTGTGTGGCGTTTTCTAACTGGTGAGCGCCAATCACCATCAACAGGAGGGATTTGAAAGAGGTTACTTTATTCACTTATCTAGGAAGCATTGTCTCAATTACAGGAGGAACGGACGAGGATGTCAAATCGAGAATCGGGAAGGCGAGAAACACATTCATCAACCTGAAACCAATCTGGAAATCTCCTTCACTCAGCATCAACAACGAAATTCAGATTTTCAATACAAACGTCAAGTCAGTTTTGCTATATGGATCAGAAACTTCGCGGGTCACAAAGAACATTTCCAACAGGTTGCAGACCTTTACCAACAACTGTCTTCGTTCTATACTGAAGATTAGATGGCCGGAAAGAGTCACAAACAAGAAGCTATGGGAACAAACAAAACAGGAACGAATCGCCCAACAAAAATGCAGGAGAAAGTGGAGATGAATTGGACACTCGCTGAGGAGGCCGCTGGGTGACATCGCACGTCAGGCCATCGCTCGAGTGGAACCCGAGGGGGAAGCGGTGAGTGGTTCGTCGGTGCAAGGTTGACATGGAAGAGATCATGTGAAGAGGAATTGAAACAGTATAGATTAACATGGATGCAGGTGAAAAGTATAGCAGAAGACAGAAGCAAGTGGAGGCGTGCGGTTGAAGCCCTATGTTCCACTAGGAACCCAAGGAAACAATAATAATACTGATTCATTATTTCTGAAGAAACCACTGATGAGTTATATATTTTTTGATTACAGCTTGATTCCACACCGTATTTTCGGTACAAGTGTGTAATTCTCAGCATGCAATATCGGTAGCCCAAATTTTGCAGGCCGACCATTGATATCAGGTGAGCGTCGGCAGGGGGTCGAACCCCGGACCATGTGCATGATCGGCAAGAGTCCTAACCATTGTGCCACCGACGCGACAAATGGAATTGTCCTCCGCATATCTTCACAATAATTTAGTAAAAACATTCAATTTCTGAAGACCCAGTTGTTTCTGACTACGCTTAAATGTAACTTCTATGGCTCTCCGTTTTGTCGATCCGATTTCCACATTCTCTGTTTGCTGATAGATATACATTTCGACTTGAAATCCGAAAACTGTAGTGTCAAGACAATAGGACTTCTATTTTGATTTCACCAGTGAGTACCTTAATCATGTGCTATAAAACATTAGGTCATATAGACCCATTTCTAAACAGATACACCCAACTGTCTAAAATCCATTATCGGTTTAATAACGTGTAAAACGTAATATTTATTTGTATGGTATTTTTAATAAACGAACTAGAAAGAATTACCCTGAACCGTAGTAACCCCCAAAAGTAAGTGTCACTCATTTCTATGCAGTTGTCTACATATTCTCTTACAAATTATCATGTCTGTATGTTACAGGTTTGATGACAATTATCGAAAAACTGTTTCGTCCTAGTTGTGGGCTCTTCATCAGTACACCTTCACTAAGGTTCGAACTCAGGGTTTCCGATCACAAGGCGAGCCCGTAGACCACCATTCAGTCACTGGGGCCCCATCCAGTCGCCAGCCCATGAATTCCAACTTCTACCAGATCGCGATGCATGTAGCGCAACCGTATGTGCATTTCTGACTAGAATATATTAAGTACAATGAATTCAGTTTATCCAGGAAGCACGTGGGCAACTTCTTGTTTGTTTGACGATGAAATGAAGCAGTTGAATGAAGAAAACTTTCTTGTGAGTACATAGAATTATACATTGTGTCACACTTCATTACAAAGACAGTCCATTTAGACTGGAGTAAGTCATTGATTCTCTCGACATACATGAAAGTAGACAAGTCATCCTGTGATAATCACAGGGGGATAAGCTTGACTAATATAGTATCTGAAGTTCTAAACACAATAATCATGTGTAGATTAAGTGGTCATCGGGAGGAACGAACACTAGAGAACCAGGCAGACTTTAGACCGGGGAGAGGATGTATTGACCATATGTTCACTCTCCTACAGATTCTGGAACATAGGCGTACTTACTGTCGGCATTCAACAGTCATCATATTTCTTGACCTGAGAGCAGTATTCGATTCCGTCAACGAGAGGTACTATTGTGATGTTTGGCTCTGAAAGAAATGTTGGGGAAATAAATCGCATTGATCAAGGCGATCTGACAACTGTGATGATAACCAGTGGTGTCCGTTAGGGATGCCCACGGCTATCCCCATTTCTGTTTAATTTCATCAAAGATGCACTAGTGGAATTGACCATAACGGACATCACCTGCTCAGGAATTGACTCGTTACCAGGAAATAATCTGGTTGACTTGGAATATGCTAGGTGAAGACGCACAGTCTTCTGAACAATCTTTTACTGTTTAGCATGCGATTCGCGCGCCCCTGTCAAATGTAAGTTGATGCTACAGGACTGAACTACATCGACCGACTCCTAGCTAAAAGATAGGGAGTCAAGTAGTAGAACGCATTAACCACCTCACCCCAAAGGGTTAACCTCTGAGGAAATCTCGGAAAAGATACGGAAGGCTAGTTTGGCATATACAAAATTACCCTATCTCTCGCTTAGTAGATGTGATATCCAATCGGCTGTCTAGCGAACAGCATGTGTACTCCTCAGTAGTTGTTTCCTCCGTCCTACTGTATAGCTGTCAGAGAGGCTTGGCTACTGAAAGCTGGAGACTTGAAAAGACTAGCTAGCTTTCTTTGATCATAGGTATCTGCGTCCTATCTCTCTTGTTAGGTGAAGGCATAGTAATCAGATGAGTAATACTGAGGCTAGGCTTCGGTCAAGTGCTAGGTTGTGAAGTTACATAGATGTGCTATGCACGCATCCCTAGCCACCGTCTTCCTCAGCGGGCAATGTTGCCTGATGTAGGATGAATCAGACTGAAAAACACCTAGTGATGGTGGTCAAACCAAAACATGCCTTCATCAGTCATTAAAATCCACAGCAGTTAGTTTAAGCCAGATAGCCGTTTAGTAGACTGTAGACTTCCTGACTGACCGGCTGGGTTCCTCGGGATGATAAGAACCAATGATGGATAGAGACAACTGGTGATATAGCTCAAAACCATCTTCAGTGGCTCGCCTGGAGGAGATGCATTCACTCTTTGTGATTTATCACATCAAATAAAACTTCATTGTTTTTCCATATTGCTATTTTTTCTCCCTCATTGAAACTTCTCTGTTTATTATCTGTCTTTTGAATCTCTCTTTACTCTCTTCTCTTGTTTTGCATGCTACATGGAGGAGGGTGGGTGACAACTCGAAATGCTGCACATGTTTGCAAAAACCTGTGTCAAAATCAATCAGTCAGTCACACTTCAATCATACAGACTCCTCAATCGTTTTCGCTCTTCAAAAATTAGTGGTATTTTAAATTGGGTATTAATTTTGCTTAAGTCTATGTAATTACTTGAAAATGCTGAAAAATAGACTTGAGGCGACCTTCCAATGTGTCCTACATTAAGAGTAAAACTATTTGATTTGAAATGTAGTCTTATTTAGATTTCACCAGGTAACAAAATTCGTCAACTTACATTTTCTGTCACTGTTCCACAATCTTCAAACTTTTCAAGTTTTATCTGATCTGCATGCTTCGATTTTACGCATCCAGTTGGCTTGAAGTGGACGGTGAATGTGAAATTCTCCCCTTTCGCGTTATACGTGTGAGTATTGTCATCATAAGTCTGTTGATAAACGATTGACACTTTTTGTCTTTGCATATTCTTGTATGAAACTAGTTTGTCGTAGACTAAACTGGTAGAGCGTTTGTTATACAATCTTAAAACCTTTTCAAAAATCCCCTTTAGATCGTCAGAAATCTTCAAATCAGATTCACTAGGGGATTTTACTTCTTGTGACACATTTTCACTAACTGGCATCTCCAGCATTTGATAACAGTCGTGCAGGCTTGTATTGATTTTCTGTTGAGATTTGTCTGCAACAGCTGTGAAGCTACATTGCCACGTCTGTGAATGAAAGTCAAATGTGAAGTATTTGCGAAAATGGATATTCGGACATGGTTAGCACGAAGAAAGGAAGGATCACAATGAAAGCTTCTATTTCGAAAGCATCGGGTTATGATAAACTAGTGTGTGTATTCGTATCGAACTCTCTGCTGGACAAGCAGTGTACCATCAGTGATTTCCTTTCATGATTTGAGAAATCACAGATGGAGAATGTGAGCATTTGTATTACATCTAATATGGTGGACAGTGTGGAAAAATTTGAAGAGACAGAATCATTCTTGCCATGAAACCTCATTGAGTAGCGTTGGATTACGAAGCAATAGCCCTGGAGGTGATTCTAGAGTGAAAAGCTGCAGACTGTTCAATACCACTCGTGTAGCGATTTTTCTTATTTTTTTGTGTGGAGTTTTACAGATTTCATTATATTTTGGATTTAGGAGCGTTCTTTCGCTTAAATACAGCAATTCCACCCTGACAAATGCTTTAATCTTCATACTGAACTCTACAATTTTTCTTGCCTCATTAGAAGCAGTTAGTAGAGCTCTGTGTCGAGTTTCAATACAAATAAGATGTTCTGTCTGCTGACCGTGATTCCAAACGGTATTGCACGGTCTTCCAGCTAGACACACAACCACTGAGTAACTGATCTCCTTTAAGACTGTGTTAAATACACTGAGTGGTCACTAGGGTGTAGCCAGTTTGGTGTTCCTATGAGCATTTGCTTCAGGAGTAGGGTGAATCTTTTGCATCCACTCATTGTTCCAGTTAAAACTGGGTACTGTATGTGACAGATATTATCCTGCATGATGAGGCAGAGCGTCGATGGTTCAGAGGTTGATTGCTCGCCAATCACGTGTGCGGTTAGAAGTTCAATCCCCGGCCAACAAACTTCCATAGTTTGCCAAGCCAGTGGTAAATCTAGTAAAGAGGGAAGATTGGGCGTGAGGTTGTCAACTCCACCCAGTAGAAATGAAACCACTTCAACTGAGACTTAAAACCTCAATCTTGAAACCCATCGTTCCACTCGGAACATAAAGGAATAACATAAGTGAGAAATATAACGAGGCAGGTGATAAAAAAGTCACTTCATCCGGACACAACTTGCTGATATTGAATACAGCGTTCATATTATTAAAACATTTAGAGTTATGATGTAGCAAGCTTTGACAATCTTAATTTTATCTGCGACTATGTCATTCACATTATAATGGAAGTCATCAGATTCCGTTTGAATAGATGTAGTCTGTGTCTTCCAAGGAAATGTCTACAGACATTCACTTTGCTTAGTTTATCTTCATAGTTCAACGGGCAGAATTATGGAAAACGTCATTAGTCTAACTTCTACCCAATTAAAATTATAATTTCAACTATACCTTCATCAACGCTAATTATCCTTGCGAAAACTACTCATCAAAATATTAGTGAGAAGACAACAGGGAGCTAAGAAGAGATTTTTTTTCGGCTATTTCATCCTGAAAAGCTGTACAATCGCATTTACATACAAAAGTTAACATAGCCAAAATTATTATTCAATTGCATATAATAGCGAAGGGGATTAGGGTGTGATAATAATTTTCAACTTGATGTGAGCGTTTGAATGTGTGAATATGGAACTGAATAATAATTATATCTATGTAAACTGTTGTATATAAACGCGACTGTACAGCTCTTAAGGGTGAAGACAATAATAACAATAACGATAATAGCTTTATGCATATAAAATGTACAGAATTTTCGGCGGAGTATATTATTATTGTTTCCTTTAATTCCTAGAGGAACATAGGGCTTCAGCCGTGCGTTTCCATTGCGTTAGGTTCTCTGCTAGAGGCTTTACCTGGCACCAAGTCTGCCCACACGTTTTCATCTCCTCTTCACATGACCTCCTCCAAGTCACCCTCGTACTGACGACCAACTCGCCGCTTCCCTTTCCGGTTCCACTCGAGCAATGGCTTGTCTAGTGATGTCACTTGATGCATTGTTTCCTCAGAGTATGGCCAATCCATCTCCATTTCCTTCTGCATATTTGTTTCACAATCGGTTCCTGGTTGGTTCGCTCATTGCCAGAGATCTCTGTTGCTGATCTTTTCTGGCCGGCCATCTGATCTTGAGTATTGAGTAAAGACAACTGTTGATGAAGGTCTGTAGTTTGTTTGAGATGCTCTTTATGACGCGCAGTGCAAGTCTCTGATCCGTATAGTGAGTAGCACTGACTTCACATTGGAGTTGAAAATCTGGATCTTATTTTTGATACTGAGTGCTGTTGACCTCCACACAGACTTGAGAGTAGTGAAAGCTTGTCTGGCTTTTCCGATTCTTGCTTTGATATCCTCATCAAATCCGCCTGTAGTTGAGACGATGCTTCCCAGGTAGGTAAAGGAGTTTGTTTATTTCAGGTTCCTCCCATTTATGCTGATTGTTGTCTGTTGTTGTTGCTGCTGTTAGTGATGTTGCCCAGGAATCTTCATTACCTCTGTTTTCTCTATGTTCACCTGAAGTCCTATCTTTGATGCTTCTTCTACCAACTTGTTGCTTTTCATTCGCATATCTTCCAGTTTGTGGGAAATCAGACATATATCATCGGCGAAGTCCAGATCCTCCAAGTATTTTGTGTGAGTCCATTTTATGCCTGTTTCCTCATTGCCTGCTGTTTGTCGCATTATCCAGTCTACTGCAATCAACAAAATCATTGGTGACAGTAGGCAGCCTTGTCTTACTCCTGTCCTCATTTCGAAGGATTCCGTAAGTTTCCCATTGTGGATTAATCGGCATGCAGCGTTGTCGTACAGCTGTTGGATGAGACGTATAATTGTTGGTGGCACCCCATAGTAGAGAAGTAGTTGCCAAAGCACCTCTCGATCGACGCTGTCAAAGGCCTTTTCAAAGTCGGTGAAGTTGAGATAGAGAGGTGACTGCTATTCCAGGCTTTGTTCAATGACGGTCCGTAATGTGGCGATCTGATCAATGCATGACTTGTTTCTCCTGAATCCAGGCTGTTCCGGTCGAAGTTTTTCATCCAGGGCATGTTTGATTCTCTCCAGGATGATGCGGCTTAGTATTTTGCTTGGGATGGACAGGAGCATAATTCCGCGCCAGTTCTTGCATTGACTTAGGTCTCCTTTCTTTGGTAGTTTGAATAAGTATTCTTTCTTCTAATCCTCGGTTACTTTGCTTTCTTCCCACACCTTCTCCAGTAGTGGCGTCATCAAGTCCGCTGTTGTCTCTGGGTCCATTTTCAATGCTTCTGCTGGGATTCCATCTGGTGCTGCTGCTTTTCCAGCTTTTAGCATCTTGGTTGCCTTCGGGACTTCTGATTTCGTCGGGGGGTTGGTGTTCACTGGTAGCTCTGTCTCTGTTGTTGGTACTGTTGGGGGCGTTGTAGGTGGTGGTCGATTTAGGAGTCTTTTGAAGTGTTCAGCCCGGCGGAGTATATTGCATGATATTTTCTCTTCCTCCAGGATCTTCAGATAGAAGATTAATTGACAGCAGATCGTGTGAGATAGTTCTGCCTGACATGAAGTGCAGACCAATCCAATTATGATAACTCTTCTTCTACGCCTTCGAGAAATACACGACATTTTGTTGAATGCCAATTATCGAAAGTTCAGGAGTATATTTAGTGGAGGGGGGAAACCACTGAGGAACAGTCATCTCATGTAGTGAGATAATCCGCTATCGAGGGTAATGCTTTTCCACATGTTTGGTAAAACTTTGCGAAACAAAATGTTGTTAATGTTTTAAAAACTCGCCAGAGTAAACAATACTAATATAGGGCATACTTCACTAAATACACACAATCTCAATGAGAGAAATTTTATGCAGTGTATTGATGGAAGTTCACGGTAGCCCAAGTTTTAAGCAGGCCGCCAAAACATTTCTTTCCTGAACTTCCTGTTCTTTTCTCTCTTATTATCCTTGTGAATTCAGCCTTCTAGTTTGACCACTACTACAATCCTGTTGTCTTACATCATTGAAACCTGAATTTGTGTAAATATCCCAAACGGAGTTAAACACCACTGCCAGTACAGCATGTTTCATGTATGATTATTATCCAAAATTTCCACCTTACCTTATTAGTTTGTGCACACTTCGGGTAACAGTCCATTCCGTAGATACCATCGATTTCTGGTGCTGGAGATCTCTGCTTCACAACAGAATAATTCTGCTGATAACTCAAGAATATTCTAAAGTTTGTCACATTATTTTCGCCCACCTAAATGATGAAATGTTATCGACACTTCAGAATACACAAAAGCTGAAACCAACCTGTACACTGATATTCTTCACTTTCATCACTTGGATGGCTTCTCTGGGATAAACTAGTCCACTGCCAGTGAATAGCTCCACAGCTTGATTGACAAGATAGTCAAAAGTTGTATTTTTGACATCTTCATATTCCACAGTGTCCCAGTGTCCAACAAACTCCTGCTTAAGATTCTCCATCATTAGACAGTTGGAAATTTCGATACTCTCTAAACGGCTTTGATCATTTTTCGTGTAGAACGCTTCAACTTCACAAAGAATACGTTTATCCTTAAATAATTATAATGAAATAAAAGTAAGAGCAATAACGGATGTCAGAATATTGGTGTTCAACAACGATAATGGTACTATAGAAACCATTTTCCAAATTATGCAACTTCATAAAAAGCCTCAAACCACTGGTAAGATTGGAAGACACCTGTCCTACATCTACTGAAGTCCATCGAAATTCAAACTGTGAAGATCCTCAGTAATGTGTTGTGAACATTTAGATTCTGTGCTACACAATTACAAGAGTCATTTCAGAAGTCATTTCAATAGGCGTGCAGAATTCTCGGCTAAGACTGTGCCTCAAAACATCTTGTGAATGTTTCTTTATTTGGTCATTAGTCCTAGTAGGACAAATGACTAGCTGACTGATTTGCGACAACGACTGCAGTTATCCTATTAAGGATTTCAAAGACATCTAAAATGAGATCTACACAATTTATTTTTGGAGAAACTGAACAACCTATCTCCCGACATCCAGTCTATTTCAGAAGCAGAATAAGAATTCCGTGAGATACCTTTTTTAGATTGCCTACTTAAAAGAAGGGAAAACAGATATTACTATATCTACATTCAAGAAGAAAATAGACTCCGACAGATATTTAGACTTTGGACCATCGAAACCCCTTCAGCTCAAAGGTATCAGGTCTTCTCAGAGGCTCAAACTCTTTGATAACAAATGAAGAAATATCAAACATTACTGAAATTCTCAATAAAAATAACTACCCACAGAACTTCATTAATAAAAATCAACACCAACATTAAATATGGTCGAAAGTGCTTTCTGAAGGCATGTACTTCACCAGTTTCAATTCCATATAGATCAGAAACGTCGGAGAACAACAGAAGAATGCTCAATAAATACAGCATCAGTGTTTCTTTCAAAATATCTGACGCACTACAAAGCAAGCCAGTTCATATAAAAGACCGAATTTCAAAGGATTCACAATCTAATTCTGCCTATAAAATAAAATGCTTGGAATGTGATGCAATATACACCAGACAAACCTCATAACGAATGAAAGTTAGATGAAATGAAAACCCTAGAGCACCTGTTCAACCACCGAGAAATTCAGTTGAACCAGAAAGGCTTGAGAAATAATCAGCTATAGGTCCAAACACTATAGAATCAAGCCACAAAATCGGTCTTGACAAAATTGAAATAATCCAGAAAATTTCCGAAATCACGAAGAACATCTAATATCAGAAGGCCTTTATATCAAATGGAATCCAAGTTGTCTAAATAAGAATGATTGGCTCAGACGGAACTTGTCCTGGCTTCAATACTCACCTCCTCATGAAGTGACAAAACCAACACAAATGTGATAGGCGATTTCATTATATAAACTCATTCTGTTTTCGTAATTTCACACACTTATCAAATCCAACAATTTACACTTGGTTTTGTTATCTTTACCCTCTGGCCAATCTGACAACATAAAAATTACCTCATGCTGAAGAACGATGATTAAACTACTGCACACAAGCCGAGATCCTGTAAATTCTGGTTTAGTTATACTACTTTGATAAAGTCATCACTAGCATTAAATAGGGAAACGCCTGTAAAAACAACAACATCATTTTGGCTTTTATTCATTGGGAAATATAAAAACACTCGTATTAGTGAGTATCATATATCCAATGGCTGAATTTTTTCAAACTGTTAAAAGTGAACTTGGTTTGGACATATTCAACATCTAAAGCACATTTGTTAGCCTGTCATCAGGCGTATTACACTTCCAGTTAAGCCGTCACCACCTATCTTGCACCGGGAAGAAATGCAGTAAATGTTCATTGAAGTGAAAATTTGAACTAATCAGAAATCCCAGAATACTATGTCAGACTGACTATGTTCTGACTGTGAAGCGATTTCATTAGTGATACACAAAAATATTTCTATATATATATATATATATATATATATATATATAAATATATAAATTTGTTCTTACACTGTTTGCTTGATGTTCAACATCCTAGGGAATTTCATCAAATAGGATTGAAACGATGTAACCCACCTTATTCTGATCGACGTCGCATGTAACCTTTTTGCAAATCGTCGGTTTTAAGTACACATTCAACTTGAAACTGTTATTCTGAAAAAGAAGCAAATGGATGAAGCCTATTCAATGGAGAATAATGAAATTCACTGTTAACAGAGATGTTTGAAACATCTGTATTGATATTCTATGCTGAACAGCTTTTATGAATACATGTTGTTATCAAAACCACCTTGTCATACTGTCAAAGAAGGCTGAATTAAGTCTCTGAAAGTGCTGGCGTGGAGTCACGCTCCCGTTCGAGTCACGTCATCCAGTGAAATCCACTGAATGCAGAACGCTACCCTTACGGAACAAGCTGGATTCAGAAAAGGCAAATCATGTGCTGAGCAAATTGCAAATCTATGAATCAATATCGAAAAAATCACAGAATGACATTCAAACCTCTATATCAATTTCACCTAATTTGAGAGGTCTTTAACGGCAATGAGCATGAAGTAATTTGGGAACTACTTCAAAACTATGGAGTTCAGTGCTCAAGTCTTTATCAACCTCATTCAGCACCTGGATGTATCACAATGCCACATTTCTGGTAATCCAAAATGGTAAACTCACTCAGCGAAACATTTGAAGCGAGTACAGGAGTAAGACGAGGTCGCCTGCCTAATATCACCGATGATACTCCTAATTGTGGTGGACTGGACTATGTGTCACATCATGATTGAGGGGGAGGGAGAAGACAAGAATGCGTGGTACTGATCGATAAGAAGACTCTAGGAGATCTGGATTTCCCGCATCGATGATCTTCGTCTAATGTCATAAAAACTGGAAGACTTCCAAGTGTAAACAAGTCAATCGGCAGAAGAAGCTGACTGGCAGTGAAGACAGGACTTCAGGTGAACATAGGGAAGACAGATATGATGAAGATAACCAACCAACCGCCAACAAAAACAACCAGCATGAATCAATATGAGATGAAGAAGTTTGAAAGAGTTTATCTCGTCCACTACCTGTAGGCATCATTACAACTACAGACGACACCACTCATGAGGACGTCAGAGACAACAGGAATCGAAAAGGCAAGTCACATCTTTGTCACTCTGAAGTCCATCGGGAAATCTATTTCACTCAGCACAAAGAACGAAATTCGAATTTTCAACCCCAGTGTCACGTCACTCAGTTCTTCTACATTATGGGTCAGAAACTTGACACGCATATCAACACATGTCTTCACTTGCTCACTATTGAAGATCAGATGGTGGACCAGAAAGAATTGGCGACAGGGAACTCTGAGGTCCTACTGCTCGACAAATATGCTAAGGAAAATCGTTGAAGATGAATCAAACATACGCTGAAGAGACCATCGGACGATACAGCGCTCCATGCCGGCCCTCGCTTGAGTGTAGCGTGAATGGATGACGACGAGTTCTCCATGAGTTGGAGAGTGACATAGAGGAATCCGTGGGAGGAATGCATAAGAGACCATGTGCAATCGTGAGGCCGACTAAAGGGGACGGTAGAGAATAAGAGAAAATGAAGAAGTACTATTGAAGCCCTACATTTCACCCGGAAACCACGGGAACTATGGTATATACATATATATATATATATATATAATCACACGCTAAACAGTCTGCCAGATGTATTAAAAGACAAAACTCCCTTAATCATACAGTTAAGACGAATAACTGAATGTTAGGCATCATATGTTAGCGGCTGTAACTTTGTTTAAGTTTTTCGTTAAGGAAACAGAGAATAACACAGTGGTCTGAACAAATTTTGCGTACCGTTCATTTCTCATCTAGTAGTCTGAAACACTTAGAAAAATTTGCTTCTATAGAGCGACGCAGTGTCTCATTATTTACCAAAATACCATGAAACAGACTTCATTCAAGTAATCTAGCCTAAGAGTTGCAGAGAAGAAAATGCTCTGGAAGCCTACATCTCTGGCTGAAACGACATAGATTCAAGTAGCTACATATAACTAGGGTATTACGCTGACAGTCAATCACAATCCGCTAATATTTTCTTCGAGTTGCTTATCGAGAGAAATGAAGAAACATACACTGCATTTCAGAAATCGAAGAGCAGGAGTATGTCTTTGCATTCACCAGCGTTTCCGTACTATATTTGGCTCCTGTAGTGTGCGAACTTTGACATATTATTGATTGATATGAAGAGAGAAAACTGAATTAGGCTATTAACTGAGAAACGTGAGGGATTGGGAAGTCAATGTGCTGGGTACATACTGAAAGTGTTTTTGGATTTCGGCACAAATAGCAGTGTCTAACAATGTCATGATTTCCACAGAGATATATATATTCTCTCGAAGGTGGAGGAACCTTCTTCAAGTCGTATCCAGACTGCTAAACATCTTCAAGTATCTCGTCACATACAGTGAAAATCTAGTCACATAGCAGATCCAAGGCTTGATAGATTGAAGAAAAAGTATTAAACCTACATTTGTTGTCCATTGGCTGGTCTCAACTATTTCATATGCGTATGGTAGGTTCGCTCGTGCATTCAAATCTCTCTCAATCAGACTACGATATTGAAGACTTTTTTCTTCTTCTGCACCTGACATCAATAGTACCGCGTTTGATGGTTTGGAATCCAAGATGTCACGTTGACAGGTATATGCAACAACAAGCTTCGCTGTGACTTCCACATCACATAAACGATAATGTGTCTAAAAGGAGTGGTAAAGCGAGAATAACGAGTGAAATATTTGAATCAGGGGTAAATTTATAATGGTGTAATGACAACAGATTGTAAATATATCAGTTTATTAGTGGACTTTCTGACTGATTTTGTGAAAGTATACAAATATCGTCTGCAGAGAATCTTCCTTCATATCCCGATATGCTGGAGAGGTCATTCGGTTACAATTTAGCAATATGAGTGAGGGTGGGAACTCAATGCTCGATTGGTTCCCAGGAAGCAATCATATTCATTCTGTCCGTCTTAATGCATCTTCACGAATAAGTAAACATGTGCATAGTCCTGTATGCTTTGTCATAATCTCCGCTTATACACCAACTGACTGTAACTAGAACGAGGTGATATATAAGTTTTGTGAAAAGCTATCTAGTTTGCTGCTGAAAGTAAAGCACTCCTAATATGGTAATGTTTCAGCGTTTAAATGGAGAATCTGTGCTATCTCATTCTGTTTATCATTCTCTTCACTGTCAGGACTTATTTCAAAAACAAAGACTCAGTCTACCCAACTGCTCACCCTAATTCAAGTGAACAAAGGATCACCCAGCTATTACTTATCTGTGGATATGGTCGCTGGAGTAGTGCCACTCATTCTCGGATAGCCGTGTAAAGTCAAATCGCTCACTAGTCTGTTCGTGGGTTTTATACAACCAATGGGGGATTAAACAATTTTCAAGAAGCACCAAACTTTTACAATTTCCCAGGAAAGATAGTTAGAATGCGTGAGACAACATTTTAAGGGGCGATTCAAGTAGGCTGAAGCTGAGCTACAGCTGTCCTCAATTCTACGCCTGCTTAGATGGAATACAAACATCAGTCCACTCTCAAGGTGTCCAATGATTACCATGTATCTTGTTGTCCAGGTGGCACTTCACTCAATAGATTTAGAGCTGTTGTGGCAATTTATCGCTGTGACAGGTGAACCAAAAAAGCATATTGTACTACAAAAAACACTCCACTTCAACTCAAGTAGCCGTGAAGAGGCTGGCGGACGACAGTCATATGAAGTGAAGACAATCGGTGGGGTTTGTCAGGAGTTTCCAATGTTACCATTTTCGCATAGTTTTATTACAGATATACTGATGTTGAGGACTGATACCAAATTCGACATCGCGGTAGTTTACATATGATTGAAAATTAGTCTTGTTATTCTGAGGTATGCAGATGGTATAGTCCATCTAGGTGAATACTTCGTCAAACTGCAACGATTTTAGGATACTTTGAGCGAAAGTCTCTCCTAATATGTATGGCATTTTATTTGCACCAGTCAATTCTAACATGATACTGGGCAACTAGTCCGCACCGACTCCTAATTTAATAATAGAGAGTGTAATTGTTCAATATGTTGACGCCTTCATGTATTTGAGGAGCTACATCAGCTCTAGTTGATTGCTTTCTAATGAAATCACAGTATGAACACAACTCGCGTCAGCGACATTACCATTGCGATGTCCGCCTATGCGTCAAAAGATATGTATGCACTGTACAGAACTCCGCTCCATCCTTCAACACATAACTAAGTATTCCTTCTGCCGTAGAATTAAGTCTCTTGCAGTTCCATTGCGCTATTTTCCTCTACCCATATATATATTTGTGCTGTTATTACGTTTGCCTCAATGCACTGATGTGATAATAGCCTGAACACTGCCCCCAGGTCACATATGTCTGTGAATGAGGATTGTCAAAATTTGTTCAGTGATTACATCAAGTGCAAGCACATGAAGAATTGTTGTTATTAGATGGTTGGAGGCGAGATCCACGACTTTCTACGGATTACCTCCAGCTATCTGATAACAGTTCGGAGTGTAGTGTGATGACGTGCCACCTAGCGCGCTGGCCATATTGAAAATATGACTGATAGAATTCAATCTGCAACAACACTGAGGACTAGACGCATATGACTAGCTACTACTGTAACAACAGACGACAAGGACCAGGCAACAGATCCTTTATTTAGGAAATCAACAGATATTTATAGATTTTCATGTACATTATTATAGGTTATTGTAAGCAAACAAATACAGTCTTCTGATTGGTGGTTTCTCGCTGAACGTTAATTTTTCATCTCTTTGTGGCCGTTTCTTGAAGTTCAGATTATCTATCTGTAAATTGTATCCGCCTACTCAAAGTCTGCTGTGATTGGTTGTTGAGTCAGTCTTTGTTATTGTTCTTTTCTCATGACCAATATTGGGGACATCAATTACTGTCTACCAATTTGGTTAGCAGCCAGCTCTCACCACACTACTATCTAGAGTCCAATCGAAGTATCCAATGCAGTCCTACAGGCGGCCAGTTACGAGACCGAATATTTCAGTGATAGCGTCTCTGACTGTGGAGTTGGATAGCCTGTGTTCGAATCTCACGAGTGACATGAGTTCCTTCAAGATTGCAGACACACGTCGTTGATGGATGTCGACAAGCACAAAACTCAGAGCTAAGGCTTCCTGCCGATTGCCTCCAAACTATCTAACAGGTTTATACATCTTATTAATCAAGGTAGAAATATTCGCCCCACTAACAAATTGACAACAGAAGAAGGCAACACATGTTATCAGTAATAGGTTAAAGCAAACTCTGAGCCTTTCGTTTTTTTGTAGAATGTATAGAACATTTCAGAGACAATAATCTCAGTTAACCTTACTAAAACGACTATGAGTATAACCGAGTGAACAGTCGAAAATTTCATGAATCCTAGTTCATTCACATTACCAGAAATATAGGACCAGTCAGTCACATGAGTACAATTCATCTTCAACTTACCTTTGATTTTGATTTCTCACAGCTGTTAGTTGTCTGTTTCTTCTTATCTCCGGTTGCATTATTACAAGCATAGAATGCCACAACAGACGTAAATGTGTACTTGCCATCAGTGTCAGAATAAGCGTTTGCAATCCAGGAGAGTGCTTTCACATGTGGTGCATTTTTTCGATCTGAATCATACACCTTGAACCATTTGTCAACTGCATCTTTAAAGCGTTTTTCAGCCAGTTCGTGTGTTTTAAGTGGACGGCGTAATTGCGTTGTATTTAGCAGGAGTTCTTTTGACCGATACTGATATTTTGGGGGAAGAGGAAACGAAAGTTTTGTGAAATGCATAGTTCAGACACAAGGAAGGAAGAGATAGTGTCTTCAATTTAATTGGACTATAGTTTAAAACTATTAAAGCCTATCACATATACATAGAAACTATCGATCCACAGTAGAATATACGTGTATTTAATAAAACACTTACGCTTAATCTGAGATAACTGAACTTACAAATGAACCAGTGAAACATTTCATGAATATACTGTCACTTCTATATTCACTGTACTTTACCTATGACACTGAGACTATGATAACATATTGCTTATTATTAATATTCTCTTGGCTTCCAAGTGGAACATGGAGCTTCAGCAACACAGTTCCATTTTGACTTGTTGTCTGCAGTCCTCTTTCAATGACACCACAAGTGCCCATGAGCTTTCGTTTCCTGCTCCTAACATGATCTCCTCCATGTCACCCTCAACTACACGACAAACTCTTCTTTCCCCACTCGAATTCCACTCGATAGCCTACCTGGCGAACAACGTCTCCTATTTTAACCATAAAGGTGTGTTTCGTTTTCACTGTGATCTATATAATCCTTGAAATGAAGTTCTGTTTTCTCAGTTAATGGTTACCTTTCGAAATCAAACTATCTTTCATCATCATTCCAGTCAACTTATCTAGGCTCATTAAGCTTTTACTGTATGTAGCGCTTAATCTCGATCTTGTAGACGATTCAGTCACTTGGACTCGGTTCACCTGACAGCCTATAAATTTCATCTTCTACTAATCCGCGACATATATGGCGTAAGCACCAGCCAGTGTCATAGATGAATGACTGATCTCTTACACGACTTGGTGTACTACAATGAATACGCGGTGGCACAACATATACCGCGAATTAGCAGAAGTCGGAATTCATGTGCTGGCCATTGAATCGGATCCCAGTAGCTGAATAATCTGCCCGCGCTCGCCTTGTAATCGGGAGGTTCTGAGTTCGAGCTCCAGTGAGTGGGTACCTATGAAGAGTCCCAAACAGTGACAAATTAGATGTCAAGTGCTCTCTTGTTCTAAGTGGTTCTCTAACTGATGTCGACTCGTGATCGAACCTATCCAATGGCCACAAGTTCTCATTCCTAATGTCAGGAGCCCAAAGGTATTGGTTTGGTCATATATTTTGTTTCCATTTTTCAATCAAATATCTCACACTCATGAAGATAATGTTTCTCCACAAGATATCGCGATGTTTACGGCTGAAAATGTGCAACATTTATGATCGATTGGTGGAAGCTGACGAGTTGAATCATGTAATAATAATAGCGTCATTAAAAATATCAACGTAAAATTAAAGTTATCAAACAAGAGAAGTAGGGGAAACTTTATATTAATGATCACTATATTTTTATTTGATTCCATTGAGTTCCAAGTGAACCATAGGGCTTTGAAGTTTCTGTATCACTAGTTGTATTTTTACGGAGTGGGGTCACTTACCTCACACCCAACCTTTTTACCAGACTTACTGCCGGCTTAGTGAGATTTAGGAGGGCGTTAGGAGGGGATCGAACCCAAGACCACGTGCGTGGTTAGTGAGCGTCCTATCGCTGAACCACCAGAGCGGGCAAGGAGTAGGAAAATGAGGTAACAATAAAGGAGGAGTGAAAATATTCAAGCTGTACCCATGAAAAAGGCTTAAACTTGTTTTTATATATTCAGAAATGATTTGATATATAACCTTGATCCTGATTCGGGTATCCAATTTCAGGACCAAGGTTCATTTTACTTAGTAATATTTTCTCCTTCCCCCCTTTATTCTCACCTCAAACTCTCTTTCCCCTTATCTGTGATCATGACCAGCAAAACATTTTGATCTATATTGATAAAAATTTCAATCCGTTATGCTCTGTTGCGTTTATATGTAAATATGTATGACAAGTACGTGTGTGATTAAAGTGTACAAAATGTGTTGCGCAAAATGCATTACACGTTTTATAATTAGTTGTGTGTGAGCAGAGTCTTTCTGCTATTACTGCTTTGCCTACCTGATGAGATACAAACGTAGAGTGGTTTAATAAACAGGTTGCTGAGATTCCTGCATAATGACTTTTGCCTATTCTTTGCATGAGTTCAAATGTCTATCAACAACAGTATTAATAAGTTGACACCCGCCACTGATTTTAGCAACACTTTTCAGTATCATTCTCAAAGTAATAAAGTCTTTCTCAAATAGCCCAGGAAAAACTAACTAGGTGGTGGTGGGGGGCTGGCGACAAAGAAAAAGATGCCGAATCTCAGAGTTAACAGACTGTAAAAGTAGAGGATGAGTGATAGAGAATTGTATGGATGATTACATGAAATATTTTTGTGTAAATCAACAGAATATGGGACGATAAGGAAAGATCAGAGGAAAGACTCAATTCATGGCAGTTAAAATTTCACTTATGGGTTTCAAGGCCGTAGGTGTTATGAACTTCCTGGAATAATTTGAGCGCCGAGTCAGATTGATTCAATATAAATTATTTAAATTAATCCCAGCGTGTTAAGAAAATCAAAACAAGATCTGTTTTCTGAACGTTTCGCTGTGTAAGCCACAGCTTCTTCTTCAGTAGATTTATTCGGATTTTTATTAATCATCAAAATATGTAGTCAAAAAGTTTTTTACATAAATTGAAGCCAGTTTATTTGAAGGTCATTTGTCCATGGACATTGCTTTACCAATAGAAAATATGTAAGCAGTCGTCACATATATTTGTAATGACTAATGTCAAGTTGTTGTTGTGTTCACTCTTCTATAGTTAATTTGTACAGATAAGTTTGTATGTGTGTGTGTGTATGTATGTTATTTGTTATATGGAAAATACGTGAATTCATATGTGATGAACATGTTAATATTTGTGTTTATGAATCATGATTGGACAAAGTTTTTAAAAACAAAAGATGTGCCTTTTATATATAAAACCTCTGTTATGTTAATTTTGATTAATTTCCCTGAAGAAGTTCGGACCAGATTGCCGAACGAAACGTTGGAATTACTCATTTCAATATTGCTGAGATATTACAAATATAATATTTTACAAATGATCCTACATGTTTTAAAAGGTCATGGAGGCTCATAGGGTGTTTATTGATTTTTTTTCATTTGTCTTGCTTCATAAGAGTTTGCCATATAGGTGATAAGTCTATCCCTTCTTTGCTATTCACTGCATTCGATGTGGTTAAGATGTGCAAGGCTTCAGAAGTCAATCTTTCTTTATGTGAATGAAATCCTCTTCCAAGAATTTCGACATTGTCGAAATCAATCTTATGTCCGCTGTCTATAGCATGCATTGCTATAGCCAATCTTTTTTCTAGACTTTTTAGTTCTACTTCATTTCTAGGTGGACTTTTCGTGCATAGTTTATGTTCATTCATTCATGAAAGGACCACCGTCTAATTCCTCATAAAAAGCAATTCATTTTGGACCAGTCTGATGGGACAGTAACAGGAGCAGAAGCTGTCAGACCATCGACATACCTAAAGGAATTGGTTACATCAGAATGAGGCAAGTCATGTAAGAAGAAAAATTTAAAAAAAAGTGGGCAGAACAGCACCCTGAGGGACATGGACCTCACTAGATAAAGCAGCAGAAAAATTTCGTTTATTTTTAAAGTACTGCTTTTTGACAGAAAAATTATAGTGCAGCCAGTCACCAACCCAACAGCTATTGTGAGTCACAGCAAGCTTATTTTATAGAGGAGACTTCGGTACAGGGTTAAAAGTGGAAGTGTAAGCAATAAAGGCACGCAGAGCATATTTAGCACTTTTGTCCAGAAAGTAATGAGTCGACTAACACCTATTCAATTTTTGCCTGAAACACATATTCAATCAGATACCTGGAAATAATTTGAATAGGCCTCTATTGTGTCCGATTAACGCACACATGGAATAGAAGTCTTAGTAGATCCACTCATTATGTGACATTTTTGATTGCACAGGAAGCCTTGGACCTAGGTTTCGTCCTGCCGATTGCCTCCAACCATCTAATACCAACAATTCACAGTGCACCGTAATGGCCAGTCACCTAGCGTGGTGGCCAAATTTCAGCTTGACTGATAGAATTCAGTCTGCAGCGAAGATAGGACTAGACGCATTACACTAGTTACTGACTATTGTGCAATCAAAAATATCCAATACAGTCCTACAGGAGGTCAATCGCGAGCCTGAATAGCTCAGTGGTAACGTCTCTGTCTGCAACGCTGGGTGACGCGGGTTCAAATCTCAGAAGGGACATGAGTTCTTTCAAGGTTGCAGATGCACCTTGCTGATGAGTGCCAACCAGTACGAAACCTAGGTCCAAGGCTTCCTGCAGATTGCCTCCAACCTTCTAATGCTAACATTATGTGACATGTTGGTTAAAACAAACTAGATAATTCTGAATTTCAGGACTGATCACTAGGTGATATCAGCTTGAAAATTCTTGGAAAACCTACAAGTACTCAACAGCTGTTTCGTCCTGGTTTGTAACTCTTCATCAGTACGCACCTAATGGGATTTGAACCCACGACCTACCGATTGCAAGGTAAGCTCGTAGACTATTCAGCCTCACGGACCTGATCCATTGGCTAGACGATGAATTCCAACTCATGCCAATCCGTGATGTAAATATATATATATATATATATATATATATATATATATATTTGTAACAGGTTTCAGACCCTTATCAACAACTGCCTCTGTGCCATATTGAAGATCTGATGGCCGACTAGAAAGAATATGTAACAAGGAACTCTGATAACGAACAAATATAGGACCTACTCCTCAACAAATATGTAGAAGAAAGTCGATAGAGTTGGATCTAGGACACACTGAGGAGACCATCGAATGATATCGCGTGCCAAGGCATCGCTGGAGTGGAAACCAAAAAGGAAACGATGAGTTGGGTGTTGCTCAAAGGATAACATGGAGGAGATTGTGGTGTGAGGAAGAGGTGAGGGACGACGGGAAATTGTGAGGGCATCTGGAGCTATACGTTCCACTCTGTACCCAAGAAAACAATAATATAATTGATATTCACCTTCTAAAAATTAAAAAGAATGACAGGAAAATTGGTAATCAGTCGAAATTGTCTTCGTGCTTACCTTCTCTAAATTGTTATAACGTGGCAAGACCGTGTGATTTGTAAGTTTCTGGCAGTCTTCCCAGTGTGATGACCTCACATAACCATTTTTTGAATTCCTGTACACCCGTAGTCTGCAGGCAAACGATGGCTGAAGAAAATAAAAGCAAAATACTGGCCTTAGTCATCTGACAGTTGTTTCTTCAAGTTTAAATAAAACACCTGCCAAGGACATGGGAAAACACATGGCTGTAAGGAATGTGCCCCGAAACTTACTCTATTCCTGAGGAAGATATGTATATCAAGTTACCCCATAACGAGAATGTAAACAGTAAGATTTTACGTCAAAGATTAAGTTTTTTCATCCATCTGATCACATTAGTAACACTATTGGCAATTATTATCCCCAGTACTCTTATAAACCCTTACTAATCTATAAACATCCAGAACATTAGTCAGTGTGAGATTCCTAGTGTAATTTGAGTGTCAATCCTTATTATTTAGTTAATTTCAAAGACTAGTTTATCGTCAGCGGTGATTTCATGGTACAGCTAGTAGACGGAGATTTCCTTTCGCTCATTATGGTGACAGCGGCAGTTGACAATAAAGGCATAACATATTCATTTCCCTGGATTATCTTCTAGTTCCATTGATATTGCATACATCAATTGCATTGAGGCCCATTGGTTCCATCCTAACTGCGCCAAGACAAGTCTGAGACTGATAAAAATAAACCTAAACGTAATCAGTTAACTTGTAGTCGTTATTTGAAATACTTTCAAACCGAGCTTCAGTAATTTGGCGGGTGGTGACTGGCAATCAATTCCAGGATATGCACCTCGTCCACTTTGCCACATGCCAGCTGGACCTACCTACATTACACAGTGAGTGATGGTGTTCCCAATGGGGCTCGGACCAAGTCACCATCGTTGTAAACGCCATAGCGTTACCTACCAGACCACTTGGGCCATGACTGAGCATGATGAATATGTCAATATACGTTCTGATTGGACACCAGTTAGTAACTAGTATCATGCGTCTCGTCTTGTATTTCGCTGCAGACTGAATTCTATCAGTCGAGTCTGCAATGTGGCCACCATGCTAGGTGGCTTGCCATCACAGTGATAAAGTCTTTGACTGCAGCACTGAGCGGTGACACGGGTTCAAATCTCAGAGAGGAAGTGAGTTCCTTCAAGATTTCAGATACGCCTTGCTGGCTGGTGAGTGGGCGAGTGCCAACAAGCACGAAATCTGGCTGGGTATGGCAGGGCTTCCTGTCGATTGCCCCCAACCATCTAATGTCAAGACATGTTTCGTCAACAAATTATCTGAAGCAGACATAATAAGCATCTCTGGTGTATCCAAAAGAATGAGTTCTCTTCATTTCACAGTGATACGATACGAGAACTTACTTGCTGATATTCAGCATAACATGAATTTGTACGAAGAGCCCGTAATTCCTTCAAGTCATCCACCAAGTCACATTTAGTTGATCTCAAGGTAACAATCAGTTCCGCAACATAGTCGTCATCTATCTGAAAATCCACAACAACGTTGTTAGTTGATCAGTTAGACATTACAAGTTAGTAGTTGACTTACAATCTCTGTACCGATCACCACACGATACAATCGTAAGATATTTGGAAACTTCTTTTGCATATTCAACGAATTGACCGATTCCATGATCACGGATGACCAGTAGTCATTTCTCAGACTCATACGATCAATATCACGTATATCCTTGCTGAGATCTAAACTTCTTTCCACCATTCTGATACAATCATTAATTCTGACTTCCCCTCGCATCTGTTGAACTTGTGTCCTGACCAGACATATTGTTCTAGCCTTTGGTGAAGGAATGAATATTGTATGAAAAATAAAGACATGAGTTAAAATTTCATTTAACACTTCAATAAAAAAGGAAGTAGGTGTATTTCGTGTTTATTTTCAAACAAATTCAAATGCTAGAATGTCCATTTAATATAAGGAGCAGTTTGTCTTATTACTGTTATCCGATAAGATAACTGTCCGTTCATTTTGTCAAGGTAATATGAATAGATTTCACAGAAACGAGACTTTTGAATTCGTTCCCTCAAGAACAGCGAAAATTAAATTTGTATAAAACTATATACCATTGATTGGTGGAGTTGAGAAATTGTTCACCACTCACATCAACCTGTAGTGCTTGACACCAAGCCAGCTCGATGTCGTCAGAACACCAGATGGCTGTTTCGTTCGTTTAGGACCCAGCTCATCATCAGATCATCAGATATTTGGCTGGCTACTTGGTCGAACTGGTGACACAATAAGTAAAATCAGCAATTTGCAAACTGATTAGCAGTTCGCCTTGTACACAGTTCGAGGGTTACTCGCTTTTTCAGTACACATAATAAAACTGAAACGACTCGAAAAAGATTAGCATGGTATCTTAGCAAGGATGACACACGAAATCATGCAGCTTTCCATATTTTTAAACCTCGGAACCCTGCAAATGGCAAATCGCTCACCAATTCGCGAAATGTTAATCTCACTTAACACTGTAATCACACCGAAGACTTTATTGTTGATACCCTGATGTTTTGTAACTAAATAAATAAAGGCGGTCATTGGACTGAGACAATGATAACAGATAGTTTTCTACAAAATAAATTGCGACGAATGCGAAAAACACAACACTGACCAAAGCAAACTACCCCTTCGTCTTCACATCCATGAACACAAACTGGCTGACAATAGACACTATTTCCACTCCCTCACTCATACCACTACATAAAGACATACACGGACATCAATCCGACTGAGACAACGTTCAGATATTAATAAGAGAAAACTCCAACAACGCCAGAGAATTTCTACAACCATGCTACTCCATTGAATTGGCAGTTAACAGGCACATTGATATACATAAAATTTAACATTCCATAAGGGGAAAATCTCATGCACGAGAAGTCAAAATTCAGGTCAAGAAAATAATCAATACCAATACCACAAGTAGACTAGAGGGTGTGAAAACAGACAAATGCAACCAATCATATTCAAACCTACCAGGAGAGATGACTAATAAACTCGTGGAGGAATTAAAATGCTCACTCCAACAAACTGAAGTATCTGCTGAGGTGAGGATGTTGTCTAGTATGGCAATGAAGGCTTCGCAAGTAAACCGTTCAGCTCAGAGAACACAAATACAACAAAATCATCCAAGTGAGCTACAAATCTTCTCCATTATATCTAGCTATCTAGTTTTACTTCATATTTCAAACTATTCTCTTGATAACTTCTCGCTATTCTACGTGGGGAAATCTCTACTCTACTTCCATTTTTATTATAATTGGTGAATATTCCCTGTGAAAAACACAGTTGTACATCTCTGATAACCTTTTATATTTAAAGAATTCAATGGTATAACTATAGTGGCAAAGTAAATTTAATAGTTTACGTAGTTCTAAACAGGCAGTTGTTTACACCATCGGATTTTGTCAGAGGAAGAAATCGACAGGTCAATTGATTGCAACTTTGCATTTTACTCAGCAGAAATGATAAAGTTTATTTTTTTAATGGATGTTTTATGAATAACGAATATGTTCCTCATATCCTGTTTCGCAGTAAGACAAAATGCTGCACACTACTGCAAACGAAAAATTCTTCTCACTGTTGATCTATCAGTTGTCTGTTAATAAAGATTCATTGAACCAAACCATCTTTGTTCACAATAATGTCATCTAAAACGAAATAGCCATGGAACTGAATTCTAAGCAAGAACATTATTGATGGCATACATTGATGTATGGTTCCACTGTCGAAAAAGAGTATTTAAGGCGTTAATTAGGAAGCTAAATAAAAGAGTCACAACAATTATCGTCGATATACAGCAACTGTTGGTTAACTGAGGGGATAAATTCCCTACATATGACATTTCATGTTTCACCTATCAATTCAAGAAATGGATACCCACGAAACTTCATCAAAAGACATCTACCCCCAGCTCAACCAACCAAATCAAAGGCCACCAGCAAAAACACAAAGAAAGTCGTCCTACCATATATAAAAGATATCTCCGAAATCGCTGCAAGACTATTCAAACCTTTTGGAATCGATGTCGCTCATAAACCAACAAAGTCACTACACTCAGTTCTATGTAAACCAAAGGACTCAACGGCAAAAGAAGACAAAAGTAACGTCATCTACAAGATAAGTTGCAACGACTGCGACAAACATTACATTGGTCAAAGTAGACGCCCTCTTCGTCTTCGCACTCACGAACACAGACTAGCTGTCAAAAGACACGACATACACTCCCTCATATCACTACATGCAGACAACCACGGGCACCAATTCGACTAGGACAATGTTCAAATCTTAGACAAAGGGAACTGCAAAAATGCCAGGGAATTCCTAGAGGCCTGGTATTCAAATGAATCAGCAATCAATAGACACATACAGATTGACAAAATATACCAATCCATACGAAGAAATTCACACAAAAACAAAGTCAAACTTCAGGTCAAGGAAACAGTCAACACCAAAACAAGTGAACTAGAAACTGAGAAGTCACACAAAAACAACCAATCACGTTCAAGGTTAGCAGAAGGAATGACTAACGACATTCAGACCAAAGAAGCAGCCAACACCGAGACAAGCAAACTAGGGGATGAAATGTCACACGAAAACAACCAATCACGTTCAAGGTTACTAGAAGAGATGACTAGTAAACTCATAGAGAATTCTGAAAGCTCACTTCACATCGAAGTATGCGCTGAAGATGTTGCTCAGTAGAGCAATGAAAGCTTCGCAACCAAACCATCCAGCTCAGAGAACACAACCACACCAAAATCAATTCAAGTGGTCTTGTGAAGACAGTCACACTGATCACTAGTCCAGGAATTTGATCGACTGTGTTCGTGAATAGCCTACTTATATTAACATGGGAAACAAAAGTATAAGATAAGGCAATCATTGAACTAATAGACAAGATTTTCAGCTTAGGATGAATACGAGAGCTGAGTTCGTCGCCTACGAACTTCAATATATATTGATCGTGAATAATTTTCAGGGACCATCAACCGTTGAATATTTATCATGCTCGTATAGAATTGGACAACAAAACCAGAATGAATTACTAATGCACAACTACACATGTGAATGTTTTTCAGGTCATGCTCAAATAGATAATGCAAAGGGAGTATGAGAGATCGAACTTAAGATAAAATTCACTACGGTTCAATTACGTCAGTTAAATAAACAATTAGTCATCATAGAAAGAATGTAGACACATCAAGAAATACGAACTGAGTAATAATAATAATAATAGTGTTGAAAGGAGTTAAGATAATGCTACTGATAATGGATAGTTTCAAATGAACAGGGAATAATAATAACAGGTAGATTAAAGTGTTAATAATATTCATAATAATAATAATAATAACAGTTAATAAGTAAAACGTATTACTATGGTAGATTTAGATTGACCACCATTTCCTTTTGTGCACAAAGTCCTGGTTTATAAACAACAATGAATGACTTGATATTGACTCTGTCAAGTCATTCGTTGTTGTCAGCGGATAAACAGACAGGAAGATGCTTGCAATTGCAGGGGCTTGTGCAATAAGAGTTAATATTGATATCCTTCCTCTGATACTATTATTATTGATAGTAGTAGTATTAGTGGCATTAATATTGCAATAAGATCGACTAAACTGGAACTTTGTATCCAAAATGAACACGTCCAGACGCTGTTCCTACCGTGACCGAACTTGGATTGATGATTCTTCTTGTCACCAAGACTGCTCCTTCCCCTTAACCCTCTTGGTTCTTTTTCCTTTGCTTATTATCACAAATATTATTATTACAATTATTGTTATTAATATTATTATTATAAATATTATTAACACTTTAATCTATCTTTTATCATGCAAAAATTCTCTCCATACTATCGAATATTTCATTTATACTATCCGGACTTATTATTAGTGATATTATCTCTTTTCTCAACATTTGCCTCCACCTGTTTCATTTCACACATTCGTTATTTCATTATGAACTTCTCATTGCAGTCTTACTATCTCCTGTTTAACACAGACCACTTCGTACTAGCTACTCACCTGATGCCTTTTATAACCTTGAACTGACTTGTCAACTTTCCTACCTCACACTCTACAAATCTATTATGACGACTAATCACCACCATTGTCTCCCATTTCACCGAAATATTTTGTAATCGATTTCAGCCTATCACGTTTGTTACACAAATACGACTATTTATTTTGACACCACATAACTAATCTGTTATTGTGCGTTAAAAAAATGTACCCGCCGGATAACTGGCCATTATTGCAACGACAATAAAAAATATTATATTTTATAATTGTAAGAACCTGAAGAGAAGAAATTATTGCAAAGAATATTCTTCGTTCAAATTGACTTTTAATTCATAATATGGGAATATTCCACACTATTAATCTTATTAATAATTTATTCTACCTGCCATTGTTATTTCTGATTTATTTCAAACCATCCATTATCAGGAGCATTATCTTAACTCCTTCCAACACTATTATTATTACTCAGTTCGCGTTTCTTGATGTGTCTACATTCTTTCTCTGATGACTAATTGTTTATTTAACTGATGTAATTGAACCGTACTGAATTTTATCTTAAGTTCGATCTCTCATACTCCCTTCGCCTTATCTATTTGAACATGACCTGAAAAACATTCACATCTGTCACTTTGCATTATTATTAATTCAGTCTAAAGAAGTAGCATTAACTTAAATAGACAAAATTAATTCAATCTACTTTATCTGCTTATCAGTCTTATATCTCCCGAAGTAATTCTGATGGTGTATATGTATATATATAATTTTTATTCCTTTGGGTTCCGGCTGGAACAACATTAATAATAATAACAGTTAATAAGTCAAACATATTGTGGTGGTGTGATACAGACAATGTGTTCCAACGGGATATTATTCTCACATATTCCCACAGTTCATTACTGCCTTAGCAACAGAATACGGTATATCTATTTGAACATTCTATTTCACATCGTTTAATGTAAGCCAAAATCATACGCTCAATGATTGGTTAGAGAATATAAAACTGTATTTATATAAATAGCAGTCAGATAACTTTAAAATAAAACCTTGGCTTCCGCGTTTTGCCTTCTGCTGTTACTATAATATCTTGGTAGATTCAGAATGACCACCATTCACTCCTGCACACAGAGACCGGCTTTAAAAACTGTAATGTATAAGCCTCCACAAATGCAAGCATTGCTGTCAGCAGTCAAAGAAACACTGAGATGTTTGCAGTTGCGGAGGCTTGTACAATTCGAGTTTATATTCAGATTCTTTCTCGGATAACTAACTGTTTATTTAAGTGGTGTAGTTGAACTATTATGTATTTTATCTCCATATCAATCAATATCTCATACTCTTTTTCCTCAAATTATCTATCTGAACAGGATCTGAAAAACATTCACACCTGTTGTTTTACATGACAGATTCAATGGAGTTTTTTTCAATACTCATCATTCTCATATTTCCGAATGGAATTCTAGTGGTATATTTATATACGCCTTTGTGTAGAGTATTCAGCAGCTGATGAGTTCTACCAAAACTAGTTGAATCCATTAAATCTTACTTTATTCACCTTCGATGCTCATTTTGAGCTCCTATAGGGATATAAATGTTTCCAACTCTTGATATTAAACTTACTAAGCACCTTTCGCCAACTACTGTTGGTCATCTTAAATATTGTGTTGGACGCAATACTGATTGAGCCACTCGTTGCCTCGTTGTTTATTCACCTGTATTAACCACCATATTCAAACGATGAGGAACATTGTAAGCCCAGGGAGAACATGCCCTGAGAACCCTAGAATGTGTAGCCAACATCCAAAGTCTGTTTATATTCATACATATATTGGGTATATATTCAGCTAGATACTTCCCAGATGATACCTGAAGATTTAGTGTACTGCATTAATTTACGACGCCTGTCTGTGGAACTTGAGAGCGACAAACATAATAGGGTAAAAAAGAACTGTGATCAAAATTCACACATTGATCAATAGGCAATGAAAAGTGAAGAAACCTCCTCAGCTATTCACATGATTTCAATACAATCAAAATGGGGTTCAAAATGCATAAAATCAAGAAAAAATGCGGCTGAAACCAAAATCAATTTCATCATTACTCACTGGATTATTCGACACTTGACATTCTCGAGCGTCGAATCGTTTCATTTCCACTTTCGAACAGTTTGTTTCTGCAAAATGCATAACAAAGTTCATTTGTCCATCCTACAGAATTGTTGATTACATTTCGGTTGTGTACACGGGCTTACTTTATGCCTTTCCACTCCAGTAATATTGTTTACTAGATGCCAGCTTAAACTGTCTGAAAATTCATTGAAACGTCTAGCGGCTGCACTGAATATCGTCAGTTCATTTGCAGCAAAGGTGACATTATTATTATTATCATTATCAGTAGTAGTGTGAACTATGTTATTTGTCTGATCACTTGTCGGGAGCGCGGTCAGTAAAGATTGACTGCATATTGGATTATGGCAAAAGAGTGAGAGGAATACGAGTAATGACTTTATCATAAATGTACACCTCTGAATTTGTATTTTGGAGACAAATAGATGAAATCAACAGAGCTTCATGCATTTATACTTGAAGTAAAGAGGATCTGAGTAGATCTTAGTCTGTCGAAGTCAAGAACTTCTGCACAGGAGAAAAAATATGAAGATTGATGATCTCCACATAAGTGGTGTAGAGTGTTGTTGTTCCACATTTTCTAAAGTAAACATTTGAACACTAAAGGATGAAGAGGATGCCCACTTGAAGTCGTTTCAATCAAGTATTTCTGTATGTATGTGTGTGGGTGCGTACTTGCGTGCGTTAGTGCACTAGCTAACTTTTACCTAACTAATTGTTAATTGATATTCTCTTTGGAAAACAACCTGTTCACGTAGCTGCAAAATGAATTGGTGATCTTAATAATCTAATTCACTGCAGAATAAATGATTGACAGGCATTTTAGTACTATGTGAATCTTGTCCATTAAGAGCAAACTAATTACTTCCTTCAATGCATATAAAGATTAATTCTTACATTTTAAGAGCGTAGAGAATATTGCGATTACCTGTGAAATACAAGTGTGACATCTGGTATAAGTATAAATCTAGCTTACGAGAAATGATGCGTTTAAATTCTCACTAACCATTAGACGTCTGATTTTGTCTCTCCCGTGTGTATCTATCAGTTTGACAGTTCCTGTGGAGCTCGTTACATAGGCTGTACAGTTTGTTGAGCTTCTGGTCGGATTTCCTAACAATATCCTACGGGGTTAAGCAACGGACAAACAAAGTCCAATCAAAATTCTATTCTATCTCATCTCGTCGATCCAGAACACGACTTTGAAGGCCTCTCTCTACCATCTACCGACTAATCTTAATTTTACCTCAGTAGTTCGTCTGTTACACACTGCTGAGGCCATCGGAATTCACATTAGAAAGCCTAACTTATTCATCCAAAAAAAGTTGGTTCAGACGGCTTCCTTACCTTGTATTATCGAAATTATCAGAAAGAATATTCTTTGCTAGAACCTCCTTTTGTCCTATAAATGTCTGAATGGGAATTTTCGCTACATTGAAGTCAGATGTTTGACAGTGCAAATGAAAATGAAAATGCGGTACATTTAGGATTTCCTGTGCACTCTACTATCCAGTTTATTCGCCTTCCTTCGAGTTCCAAGTTGAACATAAGGCTTCGAGCTGTGTGCCTTGAAGTTCGAGTCACTCTTGTGTTATTTCGTTGGGTAGGCTGGCTAACCTCACACTCAGTCTGCTTTCATTTCTGGGCTTACTACTGGCTAGGCTAAGTGAGGTTAAGGAGTGCGTCAGAGGGGAGTTGAGCTCTAGACCATATGAGTGGCTAGGGTTCACAGATTCACGCATTATGCAGTGTTTTCTGTCTATCGTGTATTAGCCATTTTCTTCAGATATTCCTGTACCTTGCCTGTAAGCCTCAGTGCCCCTCTGTAGTGCAGATACACTGTTTCTCGGGGGATCGACAAGATTATATAAACATACATCTATGCATGGAGGAGATCGTGCGACGAAGAGATGAGAGATTATAGGCAATCGTCGGCCCAGCTTAAGAGGACAGCAGAACATAAAACAAAGAGGATATGCGTTATTGAAGCCCTTTGTTCCACTTGTAACCCGAGGGTACAATAATAATCATTATAATGTACACAGAAGACACTTCTACCCACCCCACCATCTTTCCACCTCAAGTACAATTCTGAGTTAAATTGTTATCTATATTTTGTTTATCATACTATGATATGCACCACTCATACAAAATTAATTAACACTATTTTCGTAGCTAGCCTTTTTCTTACTCTCTCTTCATTAAAATCTAATTCTTTCTGAATATCTTTTCATATTACGCAATCTTAATCTAAAATTATAATTCATCAACCCTCCCCCGACACCCCTAGTTACAATGTGATTCTTCATTAATGTTTCGAAATATTTTGATGATGTAAACAGTGCTTCAAACTAATTTTTATTCTTGTACTACATACATACACAAATATAAAAACAGTTGCATATGTAAAAACGATTGTACAGCTAAGTAAATGAATTTAGCGAAAAAAAGAGACTCTTCACTCAACTGTTTTGTTTATTCTTATACAATGTATTGAAAAGCTACAAAATCTTCTGGTTTTTAATGATCTGATATAATGTTAAAAAGCATCTCATTTGTGTAGTGTTCAATTCATATACATGGTTTTATATGCTTCAGAAAAGCTTTTTTCTATCAAAAAGAAAATCTGGTTCATTACACTGAAAAGGAATTTATTGATCATAGGAGCTTGCCAATTACTCATAAAAATGTTGATCGAAACCGCTGGATAACACAGACAGGTTTTCTAATGTCTATTATTCAGTCTAAAACCTCCTGAAACCTCTCAAGCGACAAATTTCACAGTGAGTCTGATTCTCCATTTGAAGATATTCAGTGGTTCAGATATAACTTGCGGAAGGATTATGTGTGTGTGTGATAGAGTGCTTCCATCTGTGGACATTGATGCTTGATCCCGAAGAACCTTCATCATCTGACTAACACACTGACTTCCTCTCTCACATTCCTGAATTAATATTTACGCAGCTATCTGAACAGATGTCATTTCAGCGTGAACTGTAGGTTACGAAAACATATTCCTGTCTACAAATCATAAGTTATATCAATGAAATCTCTTCCAAGATATTTTTCACAAGACGGCTAGCACCGTTTCCTTCAACTACATTTTATTTTGCCTATTGACTGAGTTGGACAAATGAGACGACTTATATTAGACAAGGCATGTAAATGAATGTGAACATTGAACGTTGGTTCATTGACCTTGATCACCATTGGCGGGCAACTCGAAGGCGCGAGTGATTCGATCGTGTACAAGTTGAAAGAAGACGAAAGAATACGAATAAAAGTACAATACATTCCTTGTAACACATTTGTGTACACTCTGTATTAACCTCGATTTTAATTGCTGAGAAATAAAACTTATTACAAGTCCTCGTGTTTTGGAGTTAAAGTCGACAGTCGGTCACAGTAATTATCGATTCGTAGCGTCTTCGCAAATAATAGGAACTTAGGGTTAAGTTCCTTGGCACATGCTATACTTCAAAAATTGACTACCACCTGAAAGCATACATGTAGCGTTGAATAGATCAGTGTTTTCAGTCAGTCTGTCTTCCTCCTCCTGAGTCATTTGCTTCGGTTATTTTGTTTGTGAAAGAGTTATACAGTCCTTATATTCCGGATGCGTTTATCTTATAATGCTTTCTGTATTGCCTTTCAAACAATGAAGTATGAAATGTCATTAATTATAACCATTGTAATTTCAGGTAGTTTGCAGCTGATGAGAACCTGTGAAATAGAAAGATATCATTTTATACTGCAAATCTGGTCTTTCTTTCTCTATCGAAATTTATCAAGGGAACCAAATGTATGAAGTTATACAGTCCTTTGCATTTTCATTTCAATGAAGTCCACGTCACGTAACGGCAACTTACAGCAGAGCCATATTTTGCTGACAGTGAATACCACAAGATACCCAGTGCTTCTGGATTGAACGCATACAACTGAAATGATATGGAGTGGATGAGATTTCTTCGGGCAGACAGGATGTCTGACTACACAAAGGAATAGAAATAATTTCAGTAAGATATGATACCACTTTTATTACTCATTGGAGCTCACCTCGAGCTGGTTGCCAGGCCCCTTATCTCAATATCCTGACAAGAGGCACTGGCTGGAACGAATGCTTTTACAGGTCGTAAAATGTGAGAAAATTCACTTGGCTAGCAGTTTGACGAATGCCAGTTACCATCAGGGTAAATGTCGCTCCCACTAGGTTGGAGGTCTGAAGGTGAATTTATACTGCTGGCAAATAAGGATGTGGTAGCAGAAAAGTTTTTCCCTGGGATGGTCATCAAGGTGGATATGATGCATCCACACTCTGAACAGCCCACACACTGCCATAACCACACATGCTTTCCTGGTAACCACCCATCTATATCATCTTGCTTTATTCTCATTGTTAATACTATTCACTGGTCGGTTCCCCAATGTCCTTTAAATCTATGAGCATTAATAACGATCACAGCCGGATGATTCTTCAGCACATTCGCGTGGTTTGCTGAAGTAGAAGAAGCATTGGCTCTTAGGTCGGAAAAGCCTCTACATACTGAATCCCAGTTGACAGTCTGGCCGGACAGCTCCAGTCATAAAATTGTTTTGGTGGTACCTGTGAAGTCTCATGCCAACGAACCAACAACGGTGATGATTTTTATAATTCTCTACCGATCGCTTATTCGTCAGTACCAATTTCGAAAATAATACAAGACACTGACTCATTTGGCTCCTCCTATCAAATTAATAAGGGGCTCAAATAGATCGCATAGTTATACGCTATCAGTGCAGAGTGTCAGCAGAAGGTCGCCACACACCCATCACCCTAATCCGTTCATATGTATGCCAGTGACTGAAAGGATATTAAAAGCAGGAGGTTACAAGGTCGGTACGCGCCCTACTTGCGGCCTGCTTAAACCTTGGGCTACCAAAATTTTCCATCACTTATATTGCATCTGATTACTTCGATCGACTTTGTTTTAATCACTCAATTATATGTCCAAATCGTATTACTTACTCTCGTGATTATTTAAAATGTTTTTAACCTGATTTTGTACGTGTTTATAATAACCTTAAGATAAAGCATCATGGTGACTGGCGACGATCCTTAAAGTTTACTGCAATGCATCAGATGACTGTTCCTGTGATTATGAGCACAAATTGCAGGTCATTATCGAATAAGATTAATTACTTGGATGCTCTATTATGTTCAAATATTTACCATAATAAAGGTGTAATAACGCTTCAAGAAACTTGGCTCCACGGTGCATATGGTAACAATTTAATCTCACTGAGTGGTTTCAATATGTAAAGACAAGACCGAAGCAGTTCAAGGAAGAAGCGAAGTGGTGCTGTTGCTGCTTTTATCAATTCTCAGAGGTCTGTTGCTAACGTCTGC